GGCAAATTAGTACTTTGTTCTCAAACTGCTATCAGATAATGATGGAAGTGGTTTTTTCAGCTGCATAGACATTTTTCCCCCTCCAGTGGCAAGGGTTTGGAAAACTGTAAGGACATGTAGCCACTGCAGACTCTGGCAAGCCAAGGATGGGTGGAGAGGGCTGGCTTGGTGCCAGTGGAGATACGCGGATGACGATCGTACCTGGATGCCTCACCCATTGTTTTTACATTCTTCTAGATGTAATTTCTGATCCTCCTGTAAAGGTGTCCCTTTTAAGAGTCAGAGAAGGTCTACGATGAAAGAGTATTGAAAGCGATGTCTCGGGCTTCTGTGTAAGGGAAAAGGTGACTAGCTTCCAGCTACCACCCCTTGGCACTCGAGGTGGATGCTGACAATAGGGAGTCTCATTTCCTTGCATGGCCTGGGTGAAGAAGTGTGAATCTCACTGATTCCCAGTGAGGCTAGGACTTGGAGCAGTGAGCTTACAAGACCATTTTCTCGCAGATGGTTAAAGGAGAGCAAGGATACATGCAGAGGGGACCCCAAGAAGTACCTTCTGAGCCAAGTCGGCTCCTCATGGGAGGACCTCCCTTCTCAGCTTTTCGAAGAGCCTGAGAGAGCATCTCTCATTTACTTCTTTATTGACTCAGTGTTTAAAAATCTTCGAGTGGTAAAGAAAGGACCAATGCTATGACTTCCAAGTTTTTACATATACCATGTAGTTATTAGGTGATAGCGGTGTGAGCCCACAGTCGGCACAGTTTGGAGGCTTATGACAGACACAGCTGTGTCAGTCCTTGGTCAGGCATCAAAGGAATTTCCAGTACTATTCAATTAACACAATGGAGTAATTAGCTCTATTTGCTATTTTGTGAACATTAAATGTTGTAGTTAAAGTTAGGGCATGGTCTTAGGATTAGATAAAAGCTATCTGTATATCCAAGATAGCCAGTTTTAAATATTATCTGAATATTACCACTGTTTCCTATTTACAGTATTTTTTTATTTTACATAGTTAAGTCTTTGACTATTATTTTTTTTTTTTGAGCTACCACCACGCAAGATTTGGCCTGCTTTTATGTTTTTGTGTGTCACTGGTTTGGTTATGAGTAGTCAGTTTTGCAGAGTTTTATTTTTCTGCAGTTTCAGAGAAACTTGGAGGCTGGGGAGGTGGCTTAATGCAGCTCTGTGAGCTTGGGGACCTGAGTTTGAATTCCCAGAACCCAGCAGGAAACCTGAACACGGCTGCTTGTGCCGGTAACCCTGGCCTAGGAGTTGGGAGGTGGGTCCTAAGAGTTTATTGGCAAGCTACTCACCTAAAGAGCTAGATTTTGGTTCACTGAGAGGCCCTGTCTCAAGACAGGTGGAGAGCCATAACAGAAGATGGCCAGTGTAGTCCTCTGGCTTCCCAATGGGTGTATATGAATGTATGCCCCGCCCCCAACCCTAACTATGAGTAGTGGTGGAATCAGTCTAATTGGATAGAAGTTGAGAGTAAGCTAATGCAGTTTAGTTATTTTTTTCAACATCATATGAATGTTACCAAAAAAAAAAAAAAAAGCTCCTAGATCAGTGGTTCTCAACCTGTGGGTCATGACCCCTTTGGTGGTCAACCAACCCTTTCACAGGGGTCACCAAAGACCATTGGTAAACACATATTTACATTACAATTCATAACAGTAGCAAAATCACAGTGATGAAGTAGCACAAAAATAAATGTATATTGGGCATCACACAAGGTGAGAAACTATATGGTAGAAGGTTGAAGACCACTGTCCTAGGTGTTTGTGTTTAGACCTTTTCCTGCCAACCTGCCTTTCAGAGAAAAGTTAGAAAAATGCATTCAGTGAATGAGAACATGTGTGCAAATTGTACTATGCTGATGATATGAAATACTTCTATGCACTTCCCAAGTAGGCAGACCCTTTATTCCTGTACTAGAGGCAGTACTGGAAAACACCACACAGAACCTTTTATACTTTCATATTGGACAAAAAGATTGAAAAAAAAAATGCAGGACTAGAGGATATGTTCAATGCTAGAGTGCTTGCCTAACATGCACTACCTGGTTCGGTTTTCACCACCACAAAAACAAACACATGCTGCCAGAAGATGGTGATGATGTAAGATAAGGAGGGAGTAAGATGAAGTTAGGGAGTGTTGTGTTAGGCTACCTGCAGCTTAAATGTCAGGGTCCAGCACGGGACTTCCCTGGGAGGCTCTTGTGTGAAGACTGGAGAGAAGACAGACTTCCTTCCCCGGGTCACATTCTAAGAACTAGTGTCGAGGAGGTTAACATTTCCTCTTATCTGTTGAAATGGGATATTATCTTTAGTTTATCAATAGGAAATGGAAATTCTGAAAGTAAATGGTCCAAATAAATAGAGCCAGCCCATGGGAGCTACATCTGTCCCTAAAATGCTCCCTTCAAAGCATGTGTCATGTCATGCCATGTCCAGTTTGGACACATTGTTCAGGTGGACCCACTCACGTTAGGCAGACTTTATTTTCCATCCTGCCGTGTGTAGTCTCTTGTTACCCTGAGCTTCCCCTTTCTACTTGTCAGTTTAAAAGGTCTTAGGGGTGTGCCCTGTGGCCACCCACTACGGTGTGCGTGTCAGTGTGAACTCTACTCCGGCAATCTAGGGCCATGTGAATTCCTGGCATTATGAGTTTCAGTGATAGGAAGCTAATTTGGCTGGCCTGTGTGCCTGTGTTCTGGAGCACGTTGTAAATGCTCATACTTAGAAAGGAATGTAAAGTGAAGGGCAAAAACGCAAGGTCACTGCTGTTGGATCTGACACAGAATAGCCTTGCCTTGCGTTCCCAAAGATTTCTTATCGTTATAAAAAGTCACAGCCAGATGGACTGGAACCATTGATTGCAAGCTATTGAAAGGAGGTGGGTGGGTCTTCAAGAGGGCTCTAGGATCCCTGATGCTCGAGTGTGCGTATGATAAAGTGGGGTCACTTTGAGGCCTATACATCTTTAAGACTACGTGGTATGTTCGCACTATGGATAGTTTACTGTTTGAAGTGATATGTTGCTCATCATCAGAACAATGGGCTACAAGTTCACAAAAGCTTCTAGTGATAGCTAACCCCACTTTCCAATTTCTAAAACAGAATGCCATTCAATTTTGCAAGATGACTTTCTCTTAATTGAAGGCGTAAGTTATAATTTGAGCACTTCAGCTGTGAAGTTTCTCCAGATCATTTTTTGAAGTATAGTACACAAACAGAAAAATGTATGTATGGTATAACCCACAGATTGACTCCCAAGGGCCCAGGAGGCAGTTCAGTTGATAAACTTCTTGCCCTTCAAGCACAAAGACTTGAGTGTAATTCCAGAGTCCATGTTTTTGCTTTTGTTTTAATAACCCATAAAGTGATAAATGTATAGCTCAAAGATTCCTTGGGAAGAAAACACAGGTAGCCAGTGTCCAGACCAAAATTCAAATTCCCAGCAGTGGAGGAACCCTTGCTCTCTGCCACTTGCCTGTCCTGTCGTCCGTCCCAAGGGTACCAATCTCTGACTTTTATATATTAATGTGTTCATATTATCTGTCCTCTACTTTTCCCAATGCTTGTGATACTGAACCATATGGCTGAATGAAGTTTCAGGCTGTTCAATCCCATGGCCATTTAGTACTTCACTGTGTCCATATTCTATAATATAAGGATGCTAGAAAGTCTCCTGTGTTGACTTTTGCTAAACAAATAAAAACACTGTTCCTGAGCCTTAACCTGGAAATGGAGTTACTGGCTTGTGGACAACGGACATATTTAGTTTATACAGATGCCCTGAACTAGGGTCAGAGTATTAATGCACCAGCAATGCGAGGGCTTATGAATTTTCCTGCTGATGCTTTTTGGGGGTCAGGTTTGGAGCTGCATACGTCCATTTTGTTTCATGTTTGCTCTGTGAAAAGGTAGCGTATAAAGGTAGCGTTATAAAGAAAGCTGAGTTTAGCGTTTGTCTTTGTATTCATTCTCGCTTTGGTTTTCTTTTTCTCTGTATGAGTGACTGTGTCTATAATGTTTGATGTATAAACTATATTCCATACATATGTGTGTGTGTATGTGTATAGGTATCAAGTGCAGGTGCATATTTCTTTTTACTACTTACAGTTATGCTGCAAAGCTATCTTAGATGCCACCTAGTTCAGGCTCCTGCAGTGCTTCTGACTGATGCCCTGTTGGTAATGATGGAAAATGCATGAGTACTTGAAGGAGGCCCCATCTGTCTGTTTCACACCGTTAAGTCTCTTGAAAATGGAGGTGGTACCTGTTTCCTTTTGACTTTCTCGTAAGCATCATGCTGTTTACAGGCCAACAAAAAAATGTCTGACATTCAGACTCTCCAGGTCAAAGTTCATGGCTGTTTTTTTTTTTTTTTTGGTTGCTCTATAGGGTATCACTAGCTAGCCCTGGCTGGAATTCACTAGACCTAGTGTTCTTGAGCTCACAGAGATCTGCCTACCTCTGCTTCCCCAATAACGGGGTTGAATCCTCAGGTCCCACTGCTGCTTCATGGCCCATTTTGAAACTGTACTTGTCAACTTCTGAAGGGCCAGGTTCTCTAAGCGGTTTGTAGAGAGTTTCTTGGGTGAAAAACCTGAGGACGGTGGGTGGGTGGAGAACTTAGTGCAAAGCCCTTGTTTGCTTTCCGCCTTTCTGGTGTGTCCTTCCCTATTTTCTTCTCATGAGCACACTTCGATGTTTGCTTAAAAAGCTTCAGACTGGATTTGAACACTACGTACAGAAAACTGAATATAACTCATCAGACTATCCTGGATAAAATTAGAAACAGAGCAATTTAAAAAAAAATAATAAATGGCTGTGGGAAAATTCTTGTGCTATGTTCTCTAAGATTTCTGAATGGCCAAGGTGATTTTAATACTGATGGATGGATCTTTATATGAAAATGAATTTTTAGTTGTAGTTAATAATTTAAAGTCCATTGATATTATTTAATCAATATGTTCTCTTTCTTTACAGGCAAGAAGAGACTGACAGGAGACTGAAAAATGTAAGCTATAGTTAATGGAGTGTTATAAATAGTTTTTATGTTCTGTAAAGTCTTAATGGATCTAAGAATATACTCTGTGTCATTTTTTGTAATTAAAATTCACCTAGAAACCAACCAGTTAGTCTAAGTGTATGTATTATAATTCATCGTTAGACTTTATGTAGAACTGACTTTACCATAAGAGAGATTAGGTTTCAGGGACTGGTTGTTATATTTCTAATTTGTAAATATCAAACTCAATTTCAAAGTTTTAAGGGAGCAAGCAGGAGGCCATCAAATTAGACATTAAGGGTCGACATGATTGCTTAAGATCCTTAGGTAATTCATACACTTAATATGGTACAATTATAGAGGAATATCTAAAAGTAACAGTTTTTAGATTTAAAAATATTTAAAATTTAAAAACTAAAAAAAATTTTAAAATATGCTCATCGGGCAAGCTAAGAATTGTAACGAGTATGGGTTTTTCCGCCTGCCGCCTCCCGGTCTTGTCCCGCCGCCATGCCGCCAAATAATACACAGAGACTCTGTATTTGATACAATGCTGTTGGCCCTGTTACTTGTTTCTTATCGGCTAGCTCTGCCTTAATTATTAACCCATTTCTGCTGATCTATGTATTTCTCTTACCGGGGAGCCGGCGGCATACTGCTTTCTTCAGACTCTCCATCTTGACCCTCCTTACTACTTCCTATTTCCTCCTTGTCTCCTAGTCCCTCCTATCTTCCTTTCCTATTGGCCAACAGTGCTTTATTATTAACCAGTATGAGAAACGTATATACATAATGGCATCTCCCATCAAAGAATTACCGACTTTAGTTGTTTATTAGGTAGCTTTGTTGGGAAAATGTTGACATAATTTTTTTTTTTTCACTTGTGGGCCAAGGAAGTGCCTCAGTGGGTAAAAGGGCTCACTATACAAACTTGGTGGTCTGAGCTGGATCTCTGGAAGCCACACTCTTAGGGTGAGATGGGAGTCAGAGACAGAAGAATCACCTAGAAACTCATGGGCCAGGCGTACTTAGTGGAATGTCAGGCAATAGAGAAGGTCCTGCCTCAAAACAAATGTAGATTCAGCTTCTGGAAGGTGTCCTATATCCTCTACACCCGTGGGACCTGTGTGCACCCTCTCTCTCTCTCTCTCTCTCTCTCTCTCTCTCTCACACACACACACACACACACACACACACTCACTCACTCACAAATCCACTGATCTTTTTCTTGTCATTTAGGTTTTGATAACTTTGTACTGGCTTGGAAGAAAAGCACAAAATAACCCCTACTATGATGGTCCCTACCTCAATCTGAAAGCTTTTGAGACTCTGCTAGGACAAGCTTTGACTAAGGTAAGGAACAAAGTCCATCTGTATGAGATGACTACTGTGACACATGCTTCTACCTCATCATGCTCTTTCCTGTCACCTCTCAGCCTCTCTGCAGCAGACATGGAGGTCGTCTGTGCTCCTTTCTAGACAGGGATAAGTCGGCATGTTGGCTACTCATTTTCTGGCTTAATGTGCCTCTTTCAGGGAATAATCTGTTCCACAGCAGGTTCAAAGGTATAGAATTTTATGTCCCTAATTTTAGGTAATTTGATGACACACACATTGCTTTTTATACACTGTATAACTTAACTGTTTCTATACTCGTTATGAGCTCAATCTGCAGTAAAAGGCACTTTTAGGGCTACTAACATTTATAGGAGTTACTCAGTTTCCTTGTATTAATCTACTATTTCTTATGGATAATTATCTAGTGACCACATTCCAATATCATCATGCTGCTAGTGTTCACTGAAGAGTAATAAATATTAAGTGAATCTTGATAAAATTTTTCTTGTTTTAAGATATGCTCAAGTGATGTAAGTTATCTCCAACTTGCTGTGTAGCCAGGATGACTTTGAACTCTTGATCTTCCTGCCTTTACTTCCCAACTGCTGCGATTGAAGGCATGCATTATGATTGACTCCTGAGATTTTAAAGTTTGTTCCTGTTTGATGTTTTAAATTGTAAACACACACACACACATACACATACACAAGTGCTCATGCGTGTGCGTGTGCGTGTGTGTGTGTGTGTGTGTACAGGACAATGCTGCTGACTTTGGTGACCATCAGGTACCCTGGGGTTAGAGTTACAGGGGTTGTGAGCTGCCTGATGTGGGTGCTGGGAACTACAGCAGCAAGTGCTCTTAACTGCTAAGCCCAGAGCCCTTGTTTGTATATGCATTTGTGCACTTTCATGTTTTGAGATCATTGCAACAGGCATTTGAAGCTTGTGAACTATTTGAGAAGGACCAAATGTTGAGTCCAAAACACAGTGATTTTGTTTAAAAACAAAAACACCCCCCAAAAAAAAACCCCACAAAACTTCATTTGTAGGGTCCTAGATGGAAAACTATCCCTCTGGTTTCCTAATTTATCCATGGCATTTGTAAGAATTGGAAGAAAACAGTTGCTCACAATGATAAAACACCATTTATATAGTAGTACTTGCTTTGTAAGACTTTTTTTTCTAATGATTAAACAAAGATATTTAGTGTTTCTGACATACTGTGAGTATGAAATAAATGTTGTTATTAGAGCAGAGGATTACTTGGACATGATAAGAATAATTGCCTTTGCCTTTATCTACCCATGTTTTAAAATATACGTTGGCTGCATCTGGCCATGAGTACATTATGACGGTATGGGGTTACACTTCTTTTCTTCAGTTGTAAGGGATGATTACTTTAGGTCTGGGGAGATAGCTCAGTTTGCAAAATGCTTGTTGTACAAGCGTGAGGACATGACTCTGACCCCCAAATTCATGCAATAAAGTGGAATATGGGGATACACACACACAGTCCCAGCACTGAGAAGGCAAGGACAGCAGGATTCTGGGGCCTCACAGCATTACAGTCTGCTGGACAAAGTACGGACTAATAAGACACCCGGACTCAGTCTCAAGAAATACAAAACAACAAAAGAAAATACAAGGTGGATGTCTCTTGAAAAAAAAAAAACAACACTGGAGATTGACCTTTGACCTCTACATACATATGCCTGCTTGTGCATGAACACTTTCACATGTATGTGCATCCACACATGTGCGGTGTATGTGTACATGAACACTCAGAGAAGAGTTAGTAGTTCTGTTCACATGTTTGGGAGGAATTAGTTGGAGATAGTAGTTGAGATATTGCCATGCATCCATCATCTATCGTGCGCTAGATGTTGGGGAATGACTGACTCACCTACCAGCAAGCATAATTGCCTGAGAACGGAAGGCAGGTCAGTCCCTGCCATGGAAGAGGGTGAGGCTCTGGTGAGAGAATTGCAGGGAGTTGTGGGTACAAGGGAAACCTGATTTCACAGCTGTTTGAACTAAGGAGCTAGGCGGTTAGAAGCTACAGGGCACACGGGCTCGCGGGCTAGCGCTCTTTATAGCCTTTCCTGCTTTTTATGGCAGTGACTCAGGATGAGTAACCTCAGTGCAGAGTCTGTGCTAGGAATGCCTCTTTAAAGGCTGTTCAAAGTCATCAGTGTCAAAGTCAGGATGGTCAAGACTTGTTTTCTGTAGGTAAATCTGTGGTTGCGTCCTATTCCATTATCTGGTGGGAGTAGATAGGAGGGGCACGTGGACGCTATCGTTTGTTTTGTACCGGTTCTTTTAAAATAAAGGTGTTGTGTCAAGCGTACCTTCCCAGTTCACTTGCAGGGATGATGCCGATTGGAAACAGCAATGAAACAGTACTCAGAGGAAGCTGCTGTATTTGAGTCAGATTATAAGTTGTGGATGACTCACTTTGGGGGACTTGTCAGGGTGAAGTCCTCAGAAACCGGGCTACAGGGCCAGACTAGGGTTATTTATAACAGGCCACATGGCTCATTATCAGTCATGTTAACGCTGATGACGTCAGAAGTCATGTGTTAACTCTGAGGGTTTCAAAAAGTCTGTTGATGAAACCCCATGAAACTAAAGATTTACTTTAAAATGCTACTCTTGTATTTTGAGATGTAGCCTCTTGTCACTAAGCTTGACGTCCCCATCTGCTGAAGTGGCAGGTGAAAGGTAGATACTGGTATTTTTAATGCCAGAATGTCAAGTTTAACACTAGTGTGCAGTCTCCGTACTAGCCGTTCTTGGCATTTCAAACACTTGTAGGACAATTGACTCATGGATTGATGCATCTGACTTGGCAGAGGTCTGCTTGAAACAGCTGCTAATTACTTGTCATGAGCACTTGCCAGCCCTACTTCATATGTTGAAAGTATTCATGATAAAATGTTAAGACAGTAACACTTGGAAACCTCACACCATTACTGCCGGATGTAGTGTTTGCATTTTGGCTTTATTTAATAGTATCTACCATCTATCGGTGTCTTCTCTTAACCATTTGAAGACGAATTCAGATACCATACCTCATTCCTGTATTCTCAGACTCCATCTCTTAAGAGTAAGAATATTTTTATCCCTAGTACATGAATGAGGTTTTAGGGCCCATTCCCTATGGAGGGATACTCTCTCAGCCTAGACACAGTGGGAAGACCTTGGTCCTGCCACAAATGATGTGACAGACTCTGATAATCCCCCATGGGGGGCCTCACCCTCCCTGAGAAGTGGATGGGGGCTGGGATGCAGATATGGTGGGGGGGAATAGGAGGACTGGAGGGAGAGGGAACTGAGATTGATACGTAAAATAAGATTGTTCTTAATTTAAATGAACAAATTAACAATAAAAAGGTAAGGATATTTTTCTGTGTAGCTATAATAGATACTTAAAAAATCTCATCAACATTCTTCATCATTTATTATTGAGTCTCCTGTGGTCTCTAACTATTTTTTTAATATAGTTTTTAAAAGTTAAACCATGATTTAATCCAAGCTTGCATGTAATATTTTGCTATTCTTATGTTCTTTCACTTGTCACCCAAGGTTAACTTTGTTGATTTTCATTTATGTCCTAAGTTTTAAGAGGTCAATTAGGTTTGGCATTGGATCTCAGAGGTGTGTTAATTAAAATGGCTTATTTTGGGAAAGTTCTACGTAAGGTATAAACTGAGATGTAATATCTTTTGCTGTGTTTCTGTTTATCTCTTATTCACCTAAGAGCCAAAAGAACTATCTTATTGCCGTCTAAGAAGGTAAGTTTTATAGCCTGCAAGCTTGTATGCTACCCTTGACTCCAAAAGAAAGGCAGCCTGGCTGCCGGTGTCTCAATCTAGGTTGCATCATCATGAAAATAAACAAATTCTGTGATGTGCATACCCAACTGCTCTTTAAAACAATAGAATCTTTTTTCTTTTTTGAGATCAGATGGGATAACAGAAGTCACTCTGGTCTTATGTTTAGCATAAACCACCTCGGATATTTCCTGGAGCGAGAATAAAACATCCTAAAGATGTGCCTCCCTTTTTTTCTCTTTGATTTCATTCATCTTTTCTACCAGACAAAAATATAAATAATTGCCCAGCACTTCAAGGCTGTTCTTATTAGTATTTTCATCTTATGTATTGATGATATAACTATATGAAATAATTTCAGGGATCGTATTATTATGTGTAATTTTGAATACCCACCAGTCATAGTTTGTGGACAAAAGAGATGTGTTTTTAACATTTATTTTTCTTTTGCTGGACAGAGAAATCTTGTCAACTGGACTGTCTAATTAATCAGAACGTTTGCACTTCTGAAAGTTCATGTTCATCCCTGATCTTTGTATGTTTCCTGCAGGCACTTGAGGAGTCTAGCTGCCTGAAAAGAAGTGGCCGGGACAGTGGCTACGGTGACACCTGGTGCCCTGACCGAGGAGACTTTCTTGCCCCTCCAGGCAGCCATAGGAGGGAAGATTCCTTTGAAAGCTTGGACTCCTTGGGGTCTAAATCACTGACCAGCTGCTCCTCAGATCTCACCCTTAGAGGTGGGAAGGAAGGTGCGTTGTGACTTGGGATATGGGTTTATACGTTTGCATACGAAGAGGAAATGGCTGAGGAGAGAACGTAGGGATGGAAATAGTTCAAAGACTTCACCAAGACATAGATTTTCATAAAGCCATGAGTTTTAGGTGGTTTTTAAATTTTGTTTTGCTTTTTACTTTTCCCTCAGTCAAACCTCATAGTAATGCCAGTTTCCTTTTTTTGGACAGGACTTGTGAGGAGATGGCTCACTGAGCTTACTGGGACTGGATTTTGTCAGTCAGACACTCTGCAGATAGAGGCTTAGCAATAGGTATCTAATAAGGACTGTTAACTCATATATCTAAACACAAAGTGCACAAGAGTCTGTAGAGCCTCCTTTCTACCTCCCAACTATTTTTTTCTTTCTTGTCTTAATTTTACCAGAAAATCTTAAGAAATATGAAAGAGGAAAGGTGTTTTAACAGTTTTCTCTAAACTTTAATTGACTGGGTAACATGGATGTAGGAAGCATATTCTAGTAGTTGTCTATATTGTAATTTAATACAGAACACACTCGAGAGAATGAATTAATCCAATTCTTGCTGTGGGAAGGACCTTCCATTCAAACTTGAAAGCTTGAGGTCAAATCCATCATTGTCATGTATGTCTTTGAGGCTTTCAAGATGGCTTAGCAGCAAGCACCTCTTGCTATGGAATCAAGAGTTCCATCTCTGGGACCCACAGAGTATAAACAGGGAGAGAACCGAATCCTGTAAGTTGTCTTTAGACTTCCACATATGTGTTATGGTGAGAATGAACACACATGCATTCACACAAAATCAGTAAGGATAAGTAAATTTAAAAAAAGAACTGCATGTATATCCCTGTGACTCCTGGGTAGTATTAATAGTTTCTAAATATCTAGGTAGTCTGGATTTAGTATGGCTAAGTAGAAACCACAGATAACATTTCAAAAACTTAGGCAATAGGTCAGCAATAGAGCATTGTGTCCAACATCCATGAGATGCTCATGTTTAAACCCTATCACTTCCAAGACCATTTGTTTGTTTGGTTTTTGGTTTTTTTCCCTTTTAAAAGTATTTCTGTGCTCCAAGCATCATCACTATCAGGAAAGAAATGGGAGCCCTGACTGGGAACTTCTTTCTATCCTTGAGGGTTTCGGTTTGTTTATTGTGGACATACTTTACCCAAGATTTTTATTATGCAAAATCTCAAACATCAGGAAAAGAAGGTAAAAGCCAGTGAAGCATGATTGCAAAACTAAATTCTTTAACTTTTAGAGCAGTGATAGCAGAAATATGCGAACAGTTTTAGTATTGACCTTTGTAAGTGCCACTGTTTTTGTTGGCTTTTTCTGAGCGCAGATGAAAATGATCATATCTGTAAGGAAAGAAATCTAAGTTTGTAATTCAGCCGAGTAATTAAAGTTGTAAACTGAGCCTGAAAAATCTCAACCCACTGTGTTCCTTTTAACTGACCGAGGAGGAGCCTATGGCATGCGCTGTTTGAACTTCTTTCTATCTGCCTGTCAAAGAGTAACAGCGGGAAAGGTTGTGGCTTTGTGGCATGTGTGGATTTATCATCAAAACACAGAGAATCGGTGGTGTAAGATCTGAGTCTCCTTTGCTATGTGGGCCCGTGCCTGGTGTGTGTGACGTAAATCAGAGGGCCCCATGGTCACATTGCAAGGGGACCTTGTTTGAGGACTGTAGATGTCTGGACAGTTACAAGCAGGATAGTGGGAGGGAGGCGGGTTCCAGGACAATGAATCCTTTCTGTGACTACTCTATTAAATTCTGCTGCCTACACAATTATAGTGGGTGGTAACCATAATTAGGATAATATTTTTAGGATTAGAAAATTGTGCATTTTATGAGTTTTGTATGAAAACGTATCAGGAGTGATATTCGTACCAATAAAAACTATTAGCTAAATAAGATTCTTAAGTTTATTATTTCAAAAGCCAAATAGTCTGTGATTTTCAAATTTCTCGAGTAGTTTTGATAAGGAGAGGGTCTCGGTCTCTCTCTCTCTCTCTCTCTCTCTCTCTCTCTCTCGGTAAGTGTCAAAAACAAAGCAAAAGAAAACAGAAGTAGCTTAATCACTTCCGGTATCCCGGCCATGGCTACCAAGCCAGTCTTCCCTTCTTGCCAGACTGTTTTTTCTTCCCTGTTCTTGAGGCACAGCTGTGTCAGATCACTTTCTTTGAACCATATTGGCATTGTTTACTGTACATTCCTGCCTGGCAGGTGACAAAGGCAAGCTGCTTTTAGGTCACTTTAACCTGGAAGGCATGCAGAAGGCCAGTAGCTATGGGCAGAGTTGGAGTTGCCTTCTGTTGCTGGGAGGAAGCGAGCAAGATTTGCCAACTCCCTGTGTTTCAGAGATGCACTTGAGGCAGGGACCAACGAAGGCAGGGACGATCACTCCTTTTGGATCTATATGGTTATTCTATTCTCGTGTTTTAAAACATCTACATTTGTTGTTTTTTCAGCTGGAGAATGTAGTATTATTTGTGTCTGTCACTGGCATCTATAAAAAGGGCTTTTTTTTTTTTTCTTTGTGGTTAAGTTTGCTTTTAAGTAAATTCTTACTCGAAATTCCTGATTCCCATTATTGTTCCTTTGCTTACTAGAGGGGGGACCCTTTTTAGTACCGTGCTCTTTTGTGGGCATAAGCTTTAATTTGTTAGGGCTTCAGATGTCATCTAGTCTGTTCTCTATGATGTAGGATCCTTGTCCATATGTGTGACCTTCCAGGGGTCTATCTGTCACTGTTGAGTGTGGTGCAGTCTTCCTTCAGTTTCTACGATTACCTGTTGTTTCCTGTAACTTCCTGCCCTTTCTTACATTACTGAGGTCCTGTAGAGTTATGCTATCTCACAAGATTGCTAGATTTTATCACATGTGTTGAAGAAGGTTGGGCAGAGAAGGGACTGAGCAGGGGGTTGGGGACTTACCTGCTTATCATGGACCACAGCAGAAGAATGAACTGTGTGTGCCTCCAGTAGGGAAAGCCAGTCCCTCCTCATGGGTCTTATCACAACTTCTGGACAAAGTTCTAAAAATATTCGGGCCTTTTAGTGGCAGTGCTAGGTTTCCAAGGGAGAAGAGGCTATGCTGGGGGGAGGGGTCTTAGCGGGAATATGCTGGAGAGTAAAGCAAGTTCTTGTGCCTTCTTAGGTTTCGAAAGTGACACAGATTGGGAGTTTACATCCAAAATGCAGGAGTATAACAAAGATGATATGTCCTATCGAAGGATTTCAGCTATTGAACCAAAGTCTGCTCAACCATTCAATCGCTTCTTGCCTAACAAAAGCAAACAGCCATCCTACGTGCCAGCACCGTTGAGAAAGAAAAGGCCAGACAAAAGCGAGGATAACAGAAGAAGCTGGGCGAGCCCAGTCTACACAGAGACAGATGGAACATTTTCAAGGTAACGTCATGTGATATGGCTATGGAGTTCAGTTTGCTTTCTGGATTTGCGGGCTATTTAACATGGTTAAGGCAAAGGCTCCTAAAGTGTAGTTGACTCATACCTCTAATGGGGATTCCTTCTCCTGCCTCTATTTTCAGTCATACGTGCACTGAAGACAGTTGTTGTGTTTCAGAACTTCATCCGATGGCTAGGGCCTTCCTTTAGACGCATTCTTTCAGTTTACTGGTGTGTTTCAGCTTTACTGGACCACTGATGTGCTCTATCGTGAGCCCGTCAGTTTTTCCTTCCATTATTTTTCTTTTTTTATTTTTGTGGATAGTGGTGGACATGAAAAGAAACCCTTAATTTCCCATCAAATTAGCAGAGCAGACGATGATTTCTCAAATCCCTCTTTCCTCTGCTGTGTGGTTCTGACAGCGGCTCTGACCCCGCTGGTAGGTGGAGGTTTGCCTGGTGTGATTTTGGATGACTTAGCCCACCGTACATTCCATGTGAAAAGGAGACCTGAGGGTTTCAGTTCTCAAACTACTGCTTTCAGCTCTCGTCTTCAAGCATTTTCTCGTGATATGTTAGCCTCTGGGATGCACACACTGACGAGGTCAGAAATATATTTGTCCCAGGTCTGGGTACCTATCATGCTACTGATTGAATTGAGACAGCAACACCCACTCTGTTTAGAATTTGTCTTCCTTATAACACAGCCTTGTGTACCTAGCTTTTCTCTAACTATAAAGTGAGGTGATGATGTGATACCTTAATTTGGTCCTAGGAACTGTGGTGTTGAGACTGGGAGTTAATTTGCTTCATTCACAGGGGTGCAAACTTTGTGAGCTGGAGTGCATGCCCTTTGGGTTCTGTGCCACCGGCTGCTTACACAGTATCTTAACGTGGTTGGATATTTTGAACAGTAACCAGAGGAGGACCTGGGGTCCCAAGATGGAACGCTGGCACACAGTCCAAGAAACTTCTGCCTCCTCTTGTTATTTGGAAGAGGAGGAAGAAAAGATCATGCGCATCCCCAACCTCGTGAAGGATGATCTCTATGTGCGAAAGCTGAGTCCAGTCATGCCAAGCCCAGGGGGTTCTTTTGATCAGTTTCTCCCCAAATGTTGGACTCCTGAAGATATGAACTGGAAAAAAGTAAAGAGAGAGACTTATAAGCCATGGTATAAGGAATTTCAGGGATTCAGGTTTGTCCATGTGCATGTTCCTGGTCCCCGGTGTTTGTTCTCTGCCCTGGCCTGGTTCATCCTGCGTCTTGTTTTTTCAGTTAGGGATAGAAAAAGGTTCATTTGTCCTCTAACATCTGTAGAACTTTCATAATTAAAAAAAAAACTTGTTTAAACTCAACATGGGGGTACATACCTAGCACTCTGGAGGCTGAGGCAGGAGAATTAAATAAGTTCAGAAGAAGCCTAGGCTTCAGAATAAGACCCTGTCTTTGAAAGAAAAAAAAAATGGGGGTACTTTTTATCTTTTCTTAATAAAGTCCCTGTAGCCTGTGTTTTTATTATTAAACCATGGCAGGAGCAGGATAAAACAAAACAAAACAAAAATAGTCCTTCTGATTCTAGACATTAAGATATCTAACTTGGCATGGGTTTCAGAGCTCATATTCTCCATTTCTTTCTCTGCTTCTCTTTTTCCTCTGTTCTCCATGTCACTTGATGGCAGAAGGAATTCCGACTCTGAGGATGAGGCCTTGGGCTCTCTCAGAAGCTCCACCCTTTTTAGTAGACTAGAAAAGGCAGAGCATAGGTTAGCCAGCAGCTACCGAAGGCCTTCACTCGTGCTGGAGCGAGCCACCAAGCATGCCATGAGGTCACAGGACACCCATGCAGCCAGGAGGACCGGCGGTGCCTTGGAGGAGTCCAGGTGCACCTGTCTGTATGAGCTACCTGCTTGTGACTGACCTTGGACACCTTGTTTGGCTGCTGCTGCTGCTACATTAACCTGGGCCCCGACCACTGACTCGTGGAAACTTAACGACTCAGGATAAAGGCACAGTGTGTAGCACACTGCCTTCTGCTTGAGTGTCGCTACAAAGTCTATAGGTGTCAACATGCTATTAATGCAATAATGTGCAAGGCAGCGAATATTTATGTGCACGAATTCTTTCGAAAATGCATCCCAAAAATGCTTTCTAAAATATGACTTCAATTTACTGTTGTTGAGTGGAGAAAGGGAACTCTTAGATAGACATCTGGAAGGGAGATCCAAACCAAGCCTCAGGGTCTCTCTCTTAGAAGACTCTAGAGCACTTGGTTATTTCTAATAACCATGCTGTGCACTGTGGCCATCTCGGCACTAAGATCACGTGGCCTTCTCTAGGGAGGGGGATGAGGCCACTATGGAGAATGACTTAGAAAGTACAGGGAATGGTGTCTGTGCCGGTGCCTGGGAGGCACGCTTGACTGGAGTTAGAAATCTCGATAGTGTTCACAATCCGCCCCTTGTTCCCGATAGTGTTCACAATTCCTGGGGAATATAAAGTGTTGTTGTTTCTTTAGATGACACCCAGGAAGTCACAGAGAAGAGCTCTGAGTATGTGTCTTGTCTGTTATGCTCCCTCCCTCCCATGGCTCCTAATAATTCACCCCATAAGTGCTGGTTTGTCTCCTGACCAGTTACCGTTCTCCTCATACTTAATACTGTTCTCTCTTCCTTTTTCTTTTCTGTGCTTCAGTCAGTTTTTATTGCTTCAGGCCCTTCAAACATACTCTGATGACATCTTGTCTTCGGAACCAAATGTCAAAATCGATCCTACCTCTGGCCCAAGGCTCATAACTCGCAGAAAAATTCTCTCTCACACACCAGGCTATGGAGCAGATGACCTTGAGCTGCCAGCCCTGGATCCTGATTTAGAAAATGATGATTTCTTTGTTAGAAAAACCAGGGCTTTCCATGCAAATCCGTGTGTCCTTCGAGCCTTCGAAGACTTTCGAAGGTTCTCCGAGCCAGATGATGCTTTTGAACGAGATATAATTTTGCAGTGTCGGGAAGGTGAGCTTGTGCTTCCAGATTTAGAAAAAGATGACATGATTGTTCGACGGATCCCAGCACAGAAGAATGAAGTGCCCTTGTCTGGGGCCCCGGATAGATACCAGCCGGTCCCTTTCCCTGAACCCTGGACCCTGCCTCCGGAAATCCAAGCGAAATTTCTCTGTGCGCTCGAAAGGACACGCCCACCCCAAGAGAAAAGCAGTAGCTGTAGAGTCTTAGTTCCTTCCTATCGACAGAAGAGAGATGACATGTTGGCTCGCAAGATCCAGTCTTGGAAGCTGGGGACTGCTGTGCCTCCCACCAGCTTCAAGCCTGGACCCTGCAGCGAGGCTGACCTACAGAAGTGGGAGGCCATCCGGGAGGCCAGCAGACTTAGGCACAGGAAGCGGCTGATGGTTGAGAGGTCAGAGTGTGTTTCTGCAAGGATTTGGCTTGTGATGGTCTTGTGTAAATTTCCTTTAAAAAAAAAAAAAAAGCCGCATCAGTTTCCTCAGCTCTGCATGCTGTGTGCCGTTTTGAAGCATCCTGTAAAACATGATTTGGCTTTGAGAAGCTTTTAGTCATTTCGTGGAAGAAGTGCAATTCCATATTTACACGTCTTAGGATGATTTGAGAAGGTATATATAAAGCTTGCCCCTGGCTTGGAAGTGTCCACTGTTATGGTCCAATGTGAAATTGGATTCAAAATATTTTCTAATTGTGTTTGCAAGTTTTTCTCCTCATGTCTCTAGCATTTCTGTAGTAGTTTAGTTGTGGTTTTACGTGTTTATCACATTTTGCAGTGTCTTTTATTTAGCTACGCATTTTCTTAAAATATGTCATTGCAGATTTTATTTAACTTGATTTTTCTTGTTGATCTTAGGTTTCTTGGACTATCAGTTTGTTGCATTTTTATTTATAAAGTTCAGTGCAAGCACCATTAAAATGCATGAGTCTGTCAAACTATGTTTGTAGTTGTGACCATTTTGATAACATGAGCCATGCAACTTTCTGATAGCTGTTCCATTCACTGTAAGTTGGGAATGGGCAAATTTGACTAGGCTAAATACAATGGGTGGCCCTAAATCTAACTTTGTTCCCAGCAAGGGGAGGGCTTGTTTTATGAATTTGTTGACTCGGGATAAATTATGAAAATGTTGTTATTATTTGACTTGTGTTCCTGGAGACTGACTGAAATTTAAATATTAAGAAATATTAAGGGCCAGCTTGTTCAGATTCACCCATTTCCAGTTATACTCAAGTTAAAGATGTTAACTGCTTAGAAGCTATCATGACTAGAGAGAGTGATTGTCTTTTTTTAATCTTTGGTCTTTTGGTTTCTTAGACTCTTTCAAAAGATTTATGGTGAGAATGGGTAAGTTTTATGGTTCACATTAAAAATATATCTACATATTTGTTTGTCTCTTCTGTAACTTACTGCACCTATGTCCTGGCATGTTACTAAGGGGTGCTATGTGCAGTGCATGGGATTTTCATTTACTTTTTGGTTAGCATTTTGCAACATTGCAACCTTATTGCAATATTTTTGTATTTAAATGCCCAGTGCAATGCATGAACCATTATGTAAAGCAATAGTTTAACTCCATCCCTCTTTCTTTTTTCTTTTCATTCAATGATTGAAAGTAACAAGAGCCTAAGAGTATGCTCATTTTGGTATTTGATTCCTAAAATACACAGGGAATCAGGTCTCTTCCACAATCTGCACTTTAGAAAGCCTGAGACATTGCTGCGTACTTAATGTGGGAACCCATGTAGTTTCATGTACTTAGCTGTTGAGGGGCTTTGTTAGTGGGGATGGCTAATAGTTTTAGAAAATATTTTCAAAATTCTCACTTAGGGTAAGTTAGTTGTAACATGGATATCTACAAAGAGCAAACTAGACTTCCCAAGTTATAAAAAATAATCTTGGTAGTTTCCAATGTTTTTACCAGAGCTATATTTAAATTATTTCTCATGTTTTGTTTACTAGTATTTAATATTCATTGGGTAAACATGACTGTAATATAAAACTTTCTCAAATTTTTTCTAGCTCTAGACTATTTTAAACTAAGCCATTTGTTCTTAACGCAGCATCAGCAGGCTTTCTGTAACCATGAAATGTATTGGTAATAGATTTTTAGGAAGAGGAAGAGAGTTGAAGGATACCCAATATTTTAGTAAGCTTCAGGAGTTGAGTATCTTCCCCTTACCATGGTTTATCCATTCTCTGGGTATCTCTAATTTTAATAGTTTTTAATAATTTCAGAGGTTTAGAAATATCTGAAGCTACCAACCTTGTGACAAAATTCATTGTAACTCTAGATACCGAAGATGTGATTGAGTGATGAGCAACTATTAGAATCACTCGTTCAAGTGTGGCATGTGCAGGCACATTGTGCCTTCATCACATGTGTCTGCAGCCTTGTGTGCTAACAGGGCTCTCATTTGCAAGGGTGAAGAAGTCAGTCTTTGGCATAACACTTCAATATCTATTCATCAATTTGTCATAGGAAAGCTGTTTTAACTCGATTAAAAATCTCCTTGAGGCTTCAAGCAATCTGAATAACTTCCATGAAGAACTTTCATTTGTAATCACATTTGACTCTGTAGCATAAGCACATTCAAATTCCAGGAATGCTAAGTTCTTGGGGCATATAAACACATACCTTCTCCTTTGACTTGATGCTACCTGTTTTCCTTAGTGTAGGGCTGTTAGGTGACTTGAATTGCTCCTCCCAAGAGTGGGCTCAATGGTTGAATTCATGCCTAGCTTGGCTGTGGCCCTAAGTTCAATCCCCAACACTCTGGACCCACCCTAACCACAAACACCTATAAAACAAATAAACAGCTTAAAAACCTTAAATATTTAACCTCAAATGCTGTGGAAAATTTCTGATCCATAACAGTCATGAGCAAATGCTTCCTCTAGACAATTCCAAGTAGTTGTTTGGTTATTTGGATAACACAGTGTTTGCTTTAAAAGGCTATTTAAAAAATCCATATGCAGATGAGTGCTAAGATAACTACACAAATAAAGCAAGATAATTGAGACTGATGAATAATACAAACTTGTCAGATAATGGAACTTAATCTGTTTTAGCAAATGCAGTTGTGTTTAGGAGCAATTGTAGGTTTATTTATTTATTTTCTCTTTTCCTCCTGTGTTTTACAGTTACCAGTGATTTCCTTACATTGATTTATTACAATAAGATTAAAATATAAATTAAAATTGAATTACTTATAGTTTAATGTACAACTCATTTCACATTTATGCTAGATGAATTTTCTCTAAAAATAATATAGTGGAAAAGCAGTACTGTTTGATACCTTGTGATGAAAAACTAACTGCCCATCAGGCGGATGCTCTCTCTCTCTTTTCTTTTTCTTTTTCTTTTTTCTTTTTGGTTTTTTATCTATTAAGTTCTAGCTTGCATCTTATGTGTTTTTGGAGCTTGTGCATGCTATGTAAGTGTTTTACTAAAGCTTTAGTTGGCATGTAACACATTATGTTTATTAAGATGCTATCTGTGTGGCTTCCAGTTCTCATGTGTCTTTGTGTTGCATGAATTTCCATTTGTGTGGTTCTATGAAATTTGGGATCCGGTTGTGTCTGATATAATCTTGGTACTGACAAAGTTTGCAAGCATATGTATAAACAACCTTGTAATGTAATAACCACCAAATCTACTATCAGTATCAAAAGGAAATAAATACCAATTACGTGTGAATGGTAGTCAGAGACAACAAAGACAGCTATATTTTTCTCATAGAGCTTGATTAAATGATTTTGTAGGAGTATCAGGACATGTCATCAAGGCAGGCAAAAAAAGGAAGGGTAGACAAGTTAGTTGTCCTGGGTTATTTTCTGCAGATTTCCTTTTTCAGGTGACATCTAGTTCTGTCTAGAATACTCATATCATAGCCAAGTGTGTGTGCTGTTTACATTTGGTGCTTTGCTCATGTCTATAATACTCACAACAGCCCAGGATAGCCCTCTACAACAAATGATTTTCTGGCTGAAATGTTAATAATGTTGGTATTGAGAAACCCAAATAAGTAGGTAAGTCTATACATGAAAATTCCCTCCTATGGAAATTTCAAAATGTCTCACACAGGTTTTAATGCTGGCTATTGTTCACAAAATCCTATAGTGTCTAATGAAAACATATATACATACAGTTAGATAAATTAGCATATTTATATTGTTTCCAAAAACAGAGAGCCTTAGCTTACTGTTTTTGAATTTCTATTTGGCACTCAAGGCTGTGAGTAAATTTATATTTAGGAAAGAATACCTTATATTGATTGGCTTCTTGGACTCTTCTATAGATCAGTGGTTCTGAACTGTGTGTTGTGACTCTTTTGGGATGGCATGTCATTTTAACAGGGGCTGCCTAAGACCTTTGGAAAATACAGATTTACATTACATTTACATTACAATTCATAACAGTAGCAACATTACAGATATGAATTAGCAACGAAAATAATTTTACAGTTAGGGGGGGTCACCAAAACATGAGGAACTGTATTAAAAGGTTTCAGCATTTGGGAGGTTGGGAACTGCTACCATAGACAACTGAAAGGTTTTAGGATAATCGTCCTTGATTCCAGCTGAATGTGTCAGGAGCATCGTATGTAATCAGGGGAGTACAAGGAAATTATGTTTAGTGATTTTTAAGTGATGACTTCCTGAGCTTTTTCCTGTCCTTCCCTTAATACCATTAAATTAATTGAAAAGGCAGGATGCTTTTTGGGGGCACAAATACAATGCAGTTGTAAATTGGAGCCTCAGCGTAAGGAAATATAACCAACTGTAGCTGGCAATTCTAAAAGAATGACTGACTTACCTGTGCATTGCCCATGCTGGGCATGTCCTTGCAATTGCCTGGATGCCTTCTTAGGTGCTTATCTCAGCTCTGTGAGGTAGACTGGCATGTCTTATCTGCATTCCGTAGACAGAGATTGCAGCTTTCCCAAGGACGGAGGCTCTCAAGTAGTAGAACCAGACTGGGGCTGTGCCTCCCTCATGAGGCAACTCACGGGGACAGCTTGGCAGTGCGGTTGCCACTCAAGGAACTCCTGGGACTTTCATGTCATGCGGTTAATGCTGATAAAGAAAGACTTCATCATCTTTGTACTCTACACGTTCTAGATTTTTATCTGTGTGGTCCGGGGCGCCCTTTCTAACTTGAAAGCAGTTTATAGAGTTAGTATCTATGTGGTCCCACGTGCTCACAGCTGCCTTAATAAGAATTAGCACGGCCTTAGCTAGCGATCATAACTTATGGATGAGGAGCCGAGGCTCTGAGGAGGGAACTGCTGTACATTCAGTGGGTGAAAGCTTACACTGCCCTGGGGCTGGAGGTCTCACTGCTTGTCTCTTACTGGAGTCTATGCCGACAATTATGGCATGTGCTCCTGCTTTAAAAGGGGCAATTACATACCCCCGAAACAAGCACCGCTCACATCTTTGCTTATGAAAAGACTTTTCTTCTCTAGCCCATGTTCAGCTCACCTTTGTTCATGCTGTGTGTCTCTGGGCTGCCAGGCTTAGCTCAGCACTCAGACAGTAGGCAGAGGGAGGCACACTATGAGAAAGAGAATAGTAACTCTTTCGGGCCCAGGAGGAAGAGAAGCCAGGGACAGTTCTGAACAAGGACTAGGGATTCAACTTTCTTCCCACAAATAGATTAGTGGGGTATGAATTAGTATTCTATTTTTGTCTTACATTTTATTCAGCTTCATATGTTGCATGTCCAACCTCCCTTTATTTTCGTTTGAACTCTGAAAGTGTCTTTCCTTTGTCAGCATGACTTCAATGAGTTTGTATTTTCAAATCAACACCATGTAATTGTGTAGTTACACCTAGTGAGAGGTATATTATACATGTGTGAGTTCATATACTTTTCTATAGTCATAATTCTATTGTAATTGATTCCCTAATGAGGCTATATAATGCTATGAAACGGAGAGCACAGAGTCAGTTCAGAGTTTTCATGTTTGATTGACTATGCTCCAGCTAACCTCATTCTTCGCACAGATACTAAGTGACTTTTCTCTGCATGCATGGTACTATGCTAATGTTTCCTTTCCAAGCAGCATATGGCCTGTGAGAGAAATGGTATAGGTATGCTTGTGCATACGATATAAGATGGAGCCAAGAATTATTATCATGAAAACTACTACAGCTAAAACGTGAGGGAAGGGGTGGGTCACTTTTCACACGGAAGAGCCACAGAGACTGTGTGTATGTGACAGAACACAATTAGATCATTGACTGGATGTGTTTATGGAGTAGTCACTATGTGATGGCCTTTAAGCCTAGTGATATATCAGCCAACAGTTAGATATAATTCTCAATAATCTTACAGGACTCAGCAGATAATAGGCAAGTAAGAATATCCTAGATGCTAATAAATGCTCAAGGAAGATACAGTTGGGGCGGGGGTCGGCCCAGAGAGACGTTTGTCGGTTCTTCTAGAATGGAAAGAGAAGGAAACACTGGATAATATTTCCGTGGATGCTTGGAAGTGAAGAGAAGTCATGTGCCTATCTGGATCAAAATTATTTTGGCAGGGTTGAAGAGCAAGGAGAGAAACAAGAGCTATGGACATGTGCAAGACAGCCACTTGGCAGGAGGAGAGCGAGACCAGGACACAGTGTTAGAAACTAGTGTGGAGAGGCAGGAAGGGACTAGATGATGCCAGACTGTGCAGGTCTCTGAAGAATCTACTTAGAACTTTGATGGTCAGGTGTACCACGATCCAGCTGAGACTTAGAAAGGTCCCTTTGGCTGCTCCATTGAGCATTTTGAGCTGAGTGGTGGATGCAGGGAGATATTTGGGGTTCTCCAAGTGGATATGATGGTGTAGATCAACATAATGATGAGGGAGAGATGAGAAATTGTTAGATTCTAGAAAGAGAGAGCAGAAGAAGTATGGATAGAGTAAGTGTTGTGAGAGAAAGGGAGGAACTGAGCGACACCAAGCTTTCTGGCCTCAACTGTGGGGGGTGGAGCTGACTTTCACTGAGTTGAGGAAGACAGATGGTGAGCAGGAAACAGTGGAGTGAGCCTAGCCATGATTTTGAATGGTATTTTAAAAGGCAGAGAGGCACCGGCAAAGGCATCTTGAGTTGGAAGGGAGCATTTGAGGAAAGCCTTCTCTGATGATAATTTAAGCAGCTCTTTTGGAACTCCAGAGAGGGCTGCCTGTGCCTTGATCTAGACTGATGGCAATCGGCATGGAAAGAAAACAGCCTTAAACAGGACAACTGATTGAAAGTGAGGAGAAGAGAGGGGCAAAAGGGAACAGTGGTCCTTAGGTTTCAAATGCAGACGACTAAGGGCAGCTACCACCATTAACCTCCACAGAGGAAAAGCAGGATTGAGATTGGCCACACCAACAATAACATCATGTTTAGTGAGGAGTGGCTTGGCTTTAAAAAAAAAACAAAACAACTCTCCTTCCCAGATAGTGTTTCAGCAGGTCCCTTTACAGTTGAGGTACCCAGGGTTATATTCAAGAATAAATGCCTATTCACAAGCAATTGGAAAGGAGTCAAACAGGGCCATGTCCTAGGCTGGAGCCTGCAGAGTCATTTGCATGGTAGTTAGACTTGCATTTCTGAACCAATCACGAGTGATGAAGAAAAATGCATTGCAGAACTGGGGGGAATGAGAAACTTAGGTGCCCAAGGATATGCTAACACAACGTAAGATCCAGTTAATGTAACTGTAACAGGTTATCGTAATGTAATGTAACAACAGGAAAGAGCCTTTCATCTACCCCACCTCTAAAACTCTGTGTCTTTTACAATCCTACTGCTCTCGGCACTGATCTGACCTGACTTTCTGTCAGGAGGTATTTGTCATCCATGCAGTCTACATGGGGTTAGTAGTTCTATCCCAACTCAGTCAATCATCTAAGTGAACAAGTCTCTTTACTGCTGGGAAGCAACTTATTCCCTTTGAGAGTATGAAGCCTGCTAGAAGATAATAGTTTTCACAGGGACCTTTGAAATATGTAACAGTAATGGAGAAGAAAAGTTTTGAACCCCCCCCCCATCCTGGCTTTATTTCCTGATTACACATGTCCATATACAGGGAGGGGCTGCAGGTTAGGCTGTGAACACCGCCTTAAGGAAGGAGAGGGTATCCGAGGGGTTTCGGGAAGCTACCCTGGACTTCTGAGAGTTGGTCCCCCTGCACAGTGGTACAGTAGATCTTAAAGAGTCATTGTGAAGACACAGCACATTTTTTCATGGTGTTGAACTTGAGGAGAAAATATCAGGTAGTCTCTAAATTATTTAGCAAGTGCCTAGCAAAAACAGCCAAACTTTACTAGGTTATCTTTGAGGGAACATAGACAAATTCAGATAGGTGAAGTTAGCGACAGGTGGACCCCCTCCCCCACAAGGTAAACTTAGAGCTGGCCCCTCTAAATACAAGCACTGTACCTTGACCATTTTGTGGGGAAGAGGAAAAAAAAAAAAAAGATCTCACACCTGAGTTGAAAGCCAGGCTCTGGTTTCTGTGCTTTGGAAAAACACCATTTACCTGTGCTGTGCTATTTCAGGGACACTATCACCGAAGCATCTGGGTAGGGCAGTAGACATTTAGGTGGAATTTCTAAACAGAAGCCCAGTCTTCATGTGAACCCTCAGGCTAGCCACGAGAACCTTTGTGATTGTAGGTGTTTTTGTGACAGGAGCAAGTCCATGAGCGATGTCAGCGCAGAGGATATTCAGAACCTGCGACAGTTGCGGTACGAGGAGATGCAGAAAATAAAATCCCAGCTGAAAGAACAAGATCAGAAATGGCAGGATGTGAGTATTCTAGAACTGGGAGGGAATGGGAGCGTGGGTTTACTTCTTCCTCCTCTTAAGGATGTTAATGGACTTGAGAGACAATTTTCCTTGATATTTTAGCATCCAGTACTATAGAAAATGTGCCCCAAGTACTGTTGTATGCCTTAAAGGCCATTGTAAAAGTGGAGAAGTAAGTTTATCTTCTAAGAGATGGGACTTCTCAAAGTGTGGGAAGTTCCACCCAGCAGATTATTAGTAAACTTGCTTACTTGGGAGAGTGGGGTATGACTACTAATTATGCCTCTGCTAGCAAAACAGCATGGGTCATGAGATTGAAGGGGAACGGGATCTAGCCCACATCTTGGCATTCGCGGGGAGAGATGAAGAGTTCTCTAAGTTACTTGGAGATGGGGATGGAATACAACTCAGTATTGTTTTGGTTGAAGTTAGTATCGATTGTGATTCAAAATGAACTGTTTTAAGAGAGCTGGCATATCCAGGTGTTCATGTGGACATAGGCTTAACTTTTACCTGGAATCTTAAAGAGGAAGGTATAAGCCTTGTAGTTGAATATAGTAATTATTATAAGCTGTAGGAACGTGAGGGACGTAGTAGACAAATCAACTCCCAAGCCCAAAAAAAGAAGTTGGAACACAGCTTCGTGGTAAGAGAGTTGGTGACAACGTAAACAAAAACCCTGGAGAAATAAAGTCAACCTCGATGTCCAAAGATATTACTTGGCTCAACTTTCGTGTCCTCTTGATGGAACTCGGTGTAATGATCAAGACACAGCAAGTCGGGCTCAGAATGGGGCTCTGTGTTAGAGGACTTGCCTCGAGTGTGTGATGCTCTAACTGCAGTCCCAATCCCTGCAAGAACCAGCAATGAATTAAGTATTACTTTGCTAAAACACACAATGAGCTTTTTCTTTTCTTTTCTTTTTTGATAAGAAAATAATTATCAAGGTAGGATACCCATCAGGTAAGAGCAGGTGAATATTTGGGTCACTCTTTCTTTTGGGGAAAATAGTTCCCGTTGGTTTCAGGTATTTTGAAAAGCAGAATTAGCCCTATGTGTGTCCCTGAAGTTTGGTAGCCAAACTTGCTTTCCAAGCCCTGGGGGTGAGGGCTGGTTTGTTCTGAGACCTTTGGACTGGGATTTCTCTTGGAATTCTTAGTATGGTATTTCTCTGATTTGGAAATGGAGAAGTATTTGTGGCATTCAGAATGCTTCAGTCCCCAGCTGTCTCAACTGGCTTATGCAACTAGGGATATGCGCATTAGATAAGATTGTCCAGGCTGATGTAGAACATGTTTCTGGAGATGTGGAAAGCAAGGATGGGCTTGTACCTATGTCATGGTCCCTGCTCTCTCCCAGGAGGACGATGTTCTCTGAAACCACAGGCAGTCTAGTGTGGTTTGCGATCTCCCCTTCTGTAGGTAGAACTGACCTTTTCTTCTAGGACCCTTGTTCTTCTCAGTAGACCTACCCCACTAGACAGTCTGTGGTGTTGAGAGAACCACATCTTAGGCGTCTGTATTTCTGGGGATTGAATAGATATTAATAGGACAGACCATTTACTTGAACTGGACTGTCACAGGGATATTTCTGTCCCTCTCATCATAGTAAGCATGTGAATTGGGGGTTTGGAGTGCTATGAAATCGAGTTTCAGATATTTCCCAACCAATCTGATCTAGTGCCTAATTGCGAGCATTTAGCGTTCTTTGAGAAATGGACGTTGGATAACGAAAGTAGGATCTATCTTATTATTAGGTCAGGGTTTTCTGGCAGGCACATGAGATAAAGGCTTGGTACAGAAACACAGGCTATAAAAAGCAAAATTAGGCCACCTTGGCACAAGTACGAGCAAGAGAGTGCTTTCGGCCCAGGAACGGGATAGTCCAGCCTGCGCTCGCTGGCCCGCTGCAAGGGAAGGGCGTGTAGGAATTCAGGTACGACCGGGCCGATGTGATTTCTTGTCAGGACCTTGCAAAATGGAAAAGTAGGCGGAAGAGTTACACTTCAGATCTGCAGAAGAAGAAGGAGGAGAGGGAAGAGATTGAAAAGCAGGCCCTGGAGAAGTCTGACCGGAGCTCCAAGACCTTTAGGGAAATGCTGCAGGAGAGGTAAGGGGCTGGGCGCCCACCCTGTTTGGAGGCTGTTTATGGGGTGGGGTATGTGGTCACCAATTTTAAACTGTAAAGACGTATGTACTGAAGCATCCAGGGCTTTGTTCTGAAGCACAAAAACAATGTTGCTGAACTAGTGATCTGGGTTGAGTTTAAGCGTAGGGTAGTGAAATAAAATCAACTTTTACTTTTAAATGAATTTTATGAACGGTACGAGATCTTTGTTAAATTGCAGTGGTAGAGAATAAACTATATTTAAAGGAAGTCTATGTAAGTGTGGATGTGTGGGTTTATTCTTTGAGTTGAAATAGCAGGATAAAAGTGAAATTTAAACTTTCATGTGAGTACTTTAGCTGTGTGGACCTGGAGGAGATGGATAGATCAGAGAAAGAAAGCAAACATGCTTTAAAAATAATGTCACGAAGGAAATATGATGGCAGGTGAAATTGAACAAAGCTCCTTTGTGTCCCAAATGTCAGTGCCCAAGAGTTTGATTCACTTAAATACAGAGTTAGCCAGGGAGGAAGAGCTTCCCATAACTGCAAGATAAAGCTAAAGCTGTTTCACCAGCTCTGTAAGTATGGATAAACACCTGGAATCTATTGTAATTGCCCATGGGGAATCTTTCAAGCTCCATGAACAGACTGGCTCCCCATAAAACCCCAGTTTGTTTTGCTATTATTTTTGCCAATACGTTATCGATTTTACATAGCAAAATTTGGCAGATTTGTTATCAGTGGCCAGCTAGTAAAAGCAGTTTCATCTTGGAAGATGAAACGTGTCTAAAAACCTGCAAATAATCCCATGTTAGAACTCCCTTATTTTGTTGTTTAAATATTTTATGATTAAAAGTATCCATTTGAGAGCTTCCTTAATAAAAGGTCAGGTCAGTCTCTTAGCTGATACTTAAAAATTGATACACAATCACGTTAGCATTGTACTGATTATTATGTTCAGTGAGTAAACACTTACATATTATTGTCTTACCCCATCTGGGGTCAAGTGCCTAATTCTGTCGTAATGGAGAATTTTTTCTTTGCTAAGGGAATCTCGAAATCAGAATTCTACAAGGAGGATGTATTCCTCCGATGACGCCCTGGTCCACGACGTGCTCCCTCCTACAATGACTCTGTCAGAAACCAGCTACCAGAGCGAGACACTGGAAGACAAGACAACAGCTTATCCTGCCGAGACGTCCAAAGAAGATTGCACAACTTTTGCAAACAGTCAGGACAGTGCAGCAGCAGAGATTCAGCTTCCTTCTCATATTCCTGAGGAGCAGCAGCCGTCACCCGTGTCTGTTGTGGAACCACACCAGGCCCCCGTGTCTGCTGTGGAACCGCACCAGGGGTCTCTACCCTCGGTAGCACAGCGCCCACAGCGCCCAGGCTCGCTCTCTTTTCAGCAGTCGCCTAGTACAAGAGGAGAGTCGACTCGGATTTCAGCTTCTCTCCCTAGAAGTTACCAGAGATCCGATACAGCCAGGTTAACATCTGTGGTCACAGCGAGACCTTTTGGCGCGCAGTCAAGGGGAATCTCATCACTGCCCAGATCCTACACGGTAAAAATGCCCCAGGTTCACTCAGTCTGTTCCTAGGAGTAATGAGTTGGGGAACTTGAGCAGCGGCTGTGAGTCGGGAAGATATTGGATGTGCAAAATGTAGATGACATATGCAAACAACTAACTCCCATGACAGTTTAGATCTAATAAAAACAGGGGCGGTAAACTTTAAAGAAGACAGAAAATTTATTTATTTTTTCTTGCTTTAGTTTTGTCTGTATGTCTTCTGAACTTTTAGCCAGCAGTCTGCTCTTTTTTTTTTTTTTTTTTTTTTTTTTTTTTTTTTTAAACCTATGATATGGTAGGGTTTTAAGGTTCACCTTAAATGTTCTCAGGGTTGTATATGTAAGGTTTTCTATCCTTCCTTCCTAGCTTAGAACCAATCTGATGCTTGAGTATACTTTTGTTGAAATATGCCCATTTATATCTCTAATGATATTCAGCACCTGCGGGCCATGTTAGACTGAATTATGTAAATGGAAATGTGGTCTGAATATTTAATGTTTATGCTCCTGCTAGTTCTTCCCACCTAGCCCTTTAGATCTTAAGATCTTGACATATAGATGAGAATTATGGCTTAAGAAACTAATGTTCGACCTGAAGGAAGCCTGCTACCTAGATCTGCCAGGAAATCCCTGACCATCCTAGTAAGGAAAATTTAGACCTATCTGACAACATAAAATTAAACTTATATAGCAGGTGCTATTAAAATAGGACAGTTTGACTCACAGGTATTACTTAAACTGCATTGTAGGTAAAGGGTTGACAAGATGTGAAGTATTTTTATAATTTGATAAGGAAAAGATAAACACTAGAAATGGACATAGCAAATGAGATGGCAAATTCAATGGAAAGGAGTATAATGAAAGCATAAAGAGACATGTATAACCTTGTTAGTCTGAGAATTAGGTAAACAACTGTTCACCCATCCAACTGACAAATATTTTCAACGCTGAAACTGTTTATTGTTGAGGAGGCTGAGATAAAGGTGTCCTTCTGCTCATGGGTACAGGACTTTTCTCTGTAGAAGCGAGAGACAAATCCTACAGATATAAACCCTTGATCCAGTGAGTTTTGGAATATCGGGGCTCTAAAGTAAAAGCTCCATTTATAAAGCTTGGGATTGGCTGTAGTGTTTTTGGGGAGTGATGAGTAGCTTTTAACAATTTAATTATATATCAAATGAATAAATGATTGCTATCTATACTGTGGGGTTTCCAGTGATTGAATGACCCAGTTCACGGTTGTATCTGTTGTCCTGGAGTGATTCAAACAAACAAAACAAGTTTTATAAAACTATACATGATAATGCTATTATTAGAACAAGGGTTTCCAGGCTGGTGCATATTTGGTAGTGTGAAGAAATGCATTCCAAACTTTTGACAATAGTTACTTTTTAGTGGCAAGGATATGTTGCTTTCAAATATTAGAAAGTCTGTTTTTTAAATAAAATTGAACCTAAGATTGGCAGAATATTGGGTTTAAAATGATGTTTCCTATCTAGATGGATGATGGCTGGAAGTACAATGGAGATATTGAAGTTGTCAAGAGAGCTCCACAGAATCTGGTCAAAGCCACTGCCCCAAAGCTTGGCTCCACCCAGTTAGTTCTGGGCTCATCCAGTGAAAGGGAGGCAGCCACAGGAGAAGATGTGGCAAGCATGTCCTCTCCCACACCCACCTTCTCCCAAGACCAGGCAGCTACTTCCAAAGCTGCACTGTCTTCCATGTCTGGTCTGGATTCAGTGTCTGACTCTGGAGAAGAGAGAAGTTCACCACCGAGGGAGGTTTCCAGGTCTCAGGTAAGTTTAGCAGGGTTCTTAGTCTGGCTCACAATTGGAAACCGTTGTTCTAGCCCCTAGCTTTACAGTACAGGCTGATATTTACATTATGCAATATATATATATATATATATATATGTCTATTTTTAACAGCTTGTGGAGGAAGTCAATCTTTCCAACTCTTAGCTTGTAGATCCCCGACATCCTTCATGAGCTGTGTCTCTGGAGACTTGGTAAACCAGCCTCCTGGAAAGTTTGCCTGTAGTTTTTATTATTCCAAAGCTCTCTAGTTTCTGCAGCAGATCTAATGTATGTGTGAGTAAGTGAAAGCCTATCTCCATGGAAATTAACCAGCTGCAGAAGGAAATTGTCCCATTTGGTGGCTACTTGTCTCCAGGGACACAGCATTTTGTTATCTCTTAATCGCCCTGTGGCTTTTCATACCGATTTGGACTTGAGAATGGTCGCATTTGCTGTTATTCCTTGTCTCTCAGTGGGAACAATGAGCGTAGTTACAGTTTGACAACTGTTATTCTGAACATTTGGACTCCAAATAAAATACGGTAGCAGATTAAAGTTGAATGGGAGTGTTTGTCATTTTTCCTGTTTAAAACCCTAGCAGATGGCTTTCAAGAGAATTATTAGGTGACATGCTTTCTTTCAGTCTACATGTAAAAGCCACTAAAAGCCTTTCTCAAGCTAACAAAGCTTCTTTAAAATAACCAAAAGCCCAACAGCACTCTGATTAAGCAACTTGCTAGTGTATAAGCCCCTTCTCATGGAGGCATGTTTGGTCTTAGACTATGATTCCCTGTTATCTTACTGGTGCATAGTTGTTTTCCAAGGTGGAAGATAAAATATGTCTCTTGAATATGTGGATAAAATAGGTTTATGTGAAATAGTTTGGCATAGCATATTTACTTTATTAATTTTTTAATTATTAGAAGAAAATTAAAAAATTGATCCTTCCCTTCCAGAATATAAGACACTTACTTTGTACCTGAGAAACATAAGAAAAAAATATCCTTTTAGAAATAACCATTGTTAGCACTTTGGTAACTTTAACTTTTGTATTTATTTGGTGGTGGTATTTTCTAGTTCTTGTCATTTCTTTGCTTTAGAAGAGTTTTTCCAATATGCATTTCCATTTTTTTCAACTTTTAAAAGTCATCAGTGATAAATTGATGCATTTTATGGAATTAGGAATATATGATCAGCATTATAGGTCTCAGTGGATGAGAACAGTCCCTTGTACTATGCTTGGGGAGTGTTAGGTATCCATAGGTGGATAATAAAAGCAGAGGCAAGGTGTCTTCCATTGTGGGGATTTGTATATTGCCTTCCCTCGTTCAAAGAGCAAACTCAACAAAACAGCTTGATGAATGTGCTGCCTGCTGGGATGATGGGACCTTCTTTCGGGGTGGCAGCTGGCCAACTGCATCCATGGATTAAGAAAAAGAGGCCATGTGTGGAGCGTAGGGGTGTCCCATACTCTTGAAATTTCCAGAAGCCCAAATTAGCCTGGCCTTGTTTCAGGTTTCATCATAGTGGATTTATGCTGTTTCCATCAAGTTTGAAGTGTCATTCTACCAGGAAAGATTTGGCTTCATTTAACCATTGGAGCTAGTGGGATTCTTGTTTCTGTTTGGACTATCCATTTTTATTCTACCAGAAAAGTAGTTTATGGAACTGACTGACTCCTGAGAGGCTGTGAATGCATAATAGCTGATGAATGAAAAACATTTCAATACAGGGTCCTGAATCTCACTCTTTCAAATTCCTGCTCCAGCTCTGCAACTCTAGATAGTCACAGGAAACAAACAGAGGCTGAATATTTAGATGCTTTGGTAGCTTTGTAAAAGGATGCTCTTCTGGTCCTTCTCTTTGTTCTCTCCTGCTTTGGCCTTGCATTTCTACCGTCAGGCTTTCCCAGATTGTTGCCCGTTACTTATTGCCAGTATTGTAACCCAGGTCATTTTTCTGTCAATGTAAATGGTTAGGAATAGCCTCAGGGGTTTGTTCTATACCGGCCTCAGCAATTTTTGTGTTTTCTAGAGTTTCCTTAAGCACCTGGTTCTTTGAATGAAGTTCAGGATACTGTGGAGGGCCGATGTTCCTCATGAATGTGTTCAGACTCCCTTTGTCCTACCTCAATATGAACTGATGTTCAGTGGGGGCATGGGCTAGACAAGCTTCACAGAGTACTGTATGAATAAACCCTTACAACAGCCCCTGGGATGTCATCACCATCACTATTATTTTTACAAATAGATAATTGGAAGCATAGATAGCTACACTACTTTCCCAGTACCATCCAGGGTACTCAGTGGTGGAGTTAAGATCCAAACTCAGGAATTTTTACTCAGTATTGCCTACCTCTTACTATATGAAGGGAAAGAAAAGTAGCGGAGCTTCCTAAGAAAGCCAGTTTTTTTTGGGGATCATCACAAACCTTAGTTATTATTATTCTTCCGTTTGAAGATGTTGACTTTGCTTATCTCTCTCTGTGAAGCCTTTTAAGACATTCAAAGCCAGGCAAAACCACTTCTTTCATGATCCATGCAGTTCGTCCTCCTGGTTAGAATCTAATCAACTCATGAAAGTTTCATTCACCAACTTCTTCCTTGTTGCAAATACCCATGTCTTCCTCCTTTACAGATACTCTTTCTACCTTTCAGACAACATACAGTTGTCAAGTAATGCTGATTTGAGCTACATTCAAGGCCTTGGTTACCAGCCTAAAGTGTGAACTTGATCTAGGAGGCAACATCAACTTCTTTCTGGTTCTTGAGTGAGGATGCTTATGAGTTGAGGGTTGTTTTTCGAAGGCAGCTCTGTGGTGTTACATAGCAGTATGTTAAGGAAGGAAGCATTCGGGAAGAGGGTGGGTAGGAGTCCATCAAAGAACTGTGCTACTAGGGTGGTTTTTGTCATAAAGTAGGGAAGGCACAGTGAAGGAAAGGACTCAACATGACTGTATCCACCTCTGCCCATGCAATTTCCTGTTTCTCCATGGCTGAGCTGGTGGTCGCCTATGGCTTTTCTTTCCCTCCCTGTTCTCTTGGGGATTTTGCCATTTCCCTGCCTCCCTGGTCAATCCAGATTTCCAGAAGATCAAAGGGAAGGGAAAGAGAATTCACAGAGCATCCTTCCTCAACCCTCACCTGCCTTGCCTTGCAGATATGACTTCCAAGATTTCCCCTCCATGCTTGTTTTACTTGCAAGTTTCTGTTTTCTCTGTTTAGAGCTGCCTCCTTGCAGGTGAACACAATTCTCTGTCCCAGCCTTTTAAGACAATCCACAGAACAAAACGTTTGAGTGGAGGAAGCTTTCCACATGGTTTTGGTTCTGTTCATGAATTGGGTATGTCTTAGTCATGGAGCATTTGCCCACTATTAGGGTTTAAGTTCAATCACCCCATTGCTGACAAAGAACCCCTTTAAATAGCAGAGCTGTTCCTTATTCTAGTTTAATCCCATTCCCTTTATGCTATACCTCTGATGAGAGCCAGCTTACTGTGAAGTTGGGAAGCCACACCATCTTCCCCATTAGCACAGGACCTGAATGTGACTGTGTTGTCTTGGCTTTCAAACTAAGTTTATGCAAGTTAAAATAGGATTTTATTTAATTCATCTGAAAACTGCAATTAGCATGTAAATCATGCTTAATGTTGTTTATATGGGAAACAAAGAAAGTAAGTGTGGAACGTTAGCAATGGGCATTGGCACCTTTTAAATGTTTCCTTTAATCTTTTCAGTAACCTTGAAAGTAGGTACTATTGTCTCCAGTGTTACTGGTGACATACTTGAAATTCAGTTATGTGATTTGCCTCAGGATGGTGAAATACATAGCCCTCATTCCATTTTCTCATACTCTAACTACTAATCATGATCAATTCTCCCTCCTCTATTACGGCATGCTCGAAGTTGAAGATTGCCTTATGTAACTAAGACATGAGTATTGACTTAAAAAAAAAATAATGTTTGTGTGTGTCTATCTATCTGTGTGTATATGCATGCCACATGTGTGCAGGTGTCCGCAGAGGTCAGAAGAGGGTGTTGGATGCACCAGAGCTGAGTTACCTAATATGGGTGCTGGGAACTGAATTTGGGTCCCCTAGAACAGCAAGCACACTCTTTCCCAATGAACCATCTCAGCAGCTGCTGATGCATTTTTTAGCATCACTGTGTTTTTAGAATTTAAATTGTATAACCACTAGATATCAAAGTATCTTCTGACCTGTATCGATGAAGGTATCACAAACTAACCTCAAACTCTCAATTCTCTTACCTTGGCCTCCCAGGAATTGGGACTACAGATATCATTCCCACGCCTGGCAATGAAATTATTCTTCAGATCATTTTGAGGAAAGGTGGCATATATTTATAGAAAGTCACCTGAACTGAACTGATTTCAGAGATGTAGTATTTGAATTCTGCTAAGCAGGCACTAGGGAGCTATTGGCAATGTAAAGGTGGAGTGTGGTGTAATCTGCGTGTTCTATACTTAGACCCCTGGCAGCTGTGGGGAAGGAGGGCTGGAGAGACAAGAGATAGGTGATAGGAGAGAGGTCATAAATGCCTCTGAACTGGGTCAGGGCTTGTAGAAGGGTGGAGAAGATGGGTTCCTTCAAGGTTAAAGTCTGAGAACTTGAGAGCACGTGATTAAAAGTGTGTGTGGGGCGACAGGGGAAGAGAGCAGAGGGATGCATTAGAAGTCTCACAGTTACTTGGGTAGTGATGCATGTAACCAAGATGTTAAAAGCGGGAGGAAGCAGAGAGAGCATGTCTGGGAGGAAGATGCTTTAATTGGGGAGCTGAGGGCACGATGGTGACTGCAAGTTACTTAGGAAAGCACGTGCTCAGAAAGGTTGAATGACTTGGGGACCACAAGATGAAGTAGAAATGAAAGGACACATTGATAAAACTAAGATGTGACTAGAGAGACTGAGAGGAGTGGATAATAAATAGGTAGTGGGAACATTAGAAGAAAGTTCCTCAACTGGGGTAATCATTGGTAGTGGATAATAGGAAATGGTTCATTGGTAGTGGATAATAGGAAGTGGGAATAGTAGAAGAACGCTCCTCAACTGGGGTAATCATTGGTGGCGCCTGGTAGGATGTACACACTTCATTTTGGTTTTATAGATAGAAGAGAAGCTTGGAAGCTTGAATAAGCTGGCAGCAGTGGGTAGGAAGGCCACCTGCTTCTCTGTAGTGAAAAATCTACTGATTGTAGAGAAAGTTTTCGGTGTAGATGGCTCCAGTATCCGAGCAGGGCCTTGATTTAAAGGTCATTCCATTCTGTTCTCAACCCAAGGAGCCCATGGAATGCACCAAGGAAGCACATGGACAGAAATGTAAAGATGATTTTCTCTGCTATTCTGGATTGTGTCACCCTAACCTGTTTTTAGTGTCTTTTTTTTTTTTCTAATCAAATGAGAAGGCTTTCCTCAAGTCAAGACATTTGCCTAGTTAGAAACATTGGAAGGGAATAGTTTTATTTGTTAGTGTGTAAGATTCACTATGACTTTCATTAATTCGCATCTGTGGTGACAATGGAAATCTTAATTCACCAACTCTAGGAGAAATAATTCATACCTTGTGATATCTGGTCACCCTTTTTCTGCCTTTAGGTAATCAAGAGTCTCCTCCTGGCTCTGTAGTCTGGCGGTGAGTGGGGCAATGTTACTTCCAGTGTGCATTTCTGTCCAAACTGCAGCCAGTCTGAGTGAAACTGCTTTTAGCTTAAGTGCTGAGTTGTTGGTGGATAACTATTACTTTCTCACTCCTGGCATGGACAACTGAAACTGCTTGGGTAGTTCACTTCTTAGTCATCAAAATCTAGCTTTCCCTTGGTAGTTTATATTTTTGTTCCATCTAGTTTAAAAAGGCAATTCCCTAATTATTTTCTGTAGTTCAGATTCTTTGTGCAGTACTTACTTGGCTGACATTTTTAGAGAAAGCTAAAAATTAGAGATCCTGCCTGAATTCATCGTTGAATAGTTCATATACAACTACAATTACAGAGCTATGTTTGCACATAAGAAGTCTTGGCCATAGCCCAGTAGTGTAGGAGCCCAACACTTCACAGGAATGGCCTGAAGAATTCCCCAAGGCAGAAGTGACACACAACCCTCATCCTGCAGCCACCATCATGCACTCTATTATTGCGTGTGTGTGCATGTGTGTTATGTACACATACATGTTTTACATAAGATTGTCATGTGAAAGTGGGGCTCTTCACATGAAACATTTGAGAGTCAGTGTTAGAGAGAAAATTCTCCAGTGTCATGCCTGAGGTAACTTGGATATCGACAGAGATTCACCTGTAATTGTCCATGTGGTGTTCTTTTTCTATGTATTGTCCTGAGGATGGACAGGACAGTCTGCCAGCATGTAGCCATAGCAAAGCCATCTTCCCTGTTAACAGGTTCAGAGAGGTGAGTATCTCTTCTTTTATTTAGTGTGTTCAGAGATGTCTTTGTTTTCAAGCTCAGAATAGCCATTTCGGGACAGTTCTGATTTACTGTAATTGTGAGGCTCTTCCCTCTATGGATGAAGCTTATTGTCCTTCATCTTTTATATGGAAGAAAAGGATGATGCTCAACTGTAGTCTCTCAGAGAACATTTTTTAAAATGTATTTTGAGACTATTTCTCTCATCTTTTATTTTTTCAACTAATAAAACCCCAATAGTGGTTTGATTACCCAACTCATCACACACCTAAGTCAGGTCTTTGTGTGTGTGAGTGTGGTAAAGATGACCACTCCTTTCACTGAGTCCCCTCCAGTTTAAGTGTGTGGTGGTTTTGGCTAAAATTACCAAAGGAAAGCTAAGATTTTTGATGACTAAGAAATGAGCTACCCAAGTAGTTTCAGTTGTCCATGCCAGAAAAGGGAAAATAATAGTTATCCATCAAGGATTCAGCATTTAAGCTAAAAGTGTAGAACCAACTAGTAACTTTCTCTAGTCTCAGCCAAGTTTTTTTTTTTCCTTCAAATTGACACTTAGCAGGCTCATTAATAACACATACCAAGACGACATCTCAATGCCTCTATTTACACTGTCTTTTGAAAGGCTTCCTTTTAGAAACTGTGTTATTTGCTACACATTTTTTTTTTTTGGCCTTTGAAGCCCCTCATATCCACCTTGGAAGAGTTACAATTACTCTTAAGAATAAGGATCAAGCCTCATTTATCTTTCTTTTCTAAAGTGCTAAGTACCGTGTCTTGCACAAAGTTCATGCACAATAAATGTATGTTGCACAGTGAATAATTGAACTGTATTATTGTTCTTCCATGTGTCTATAAAGCTTAGCAGCTGCTTGGATCTTTGCCTTCCTTCCCTTCCTTATAATTCTTGCCCATTACTGGAATTTTTCTCAAAGTATTGTCACTTGAATCTTAAATTTACTTTACGGTTCGAAAACACAGGCATAAAAATTTTACTAGTCTTGTTGGCCCTAGGTTTGAATTTAACTGCGAAATTAGGCTTGGCAGTTTGTGACCTGGAAGGTAAAGTAGCTTTGGGATGACTTTTTAAAAAATAATAGGTTAGTCTAAGTTCTTTATGATTATAAAGCAAAGAACTAAAAGTCTAATTTGATGGATGCATATAATAATTTATATTTGTTGTTTACCCCAAATAAGGTGTATGTTAAGAAGGCTGATTAAAGCCAGGCATGGTGGCACACTCCTTCAATCCCAGCACTGGGGAGGCAGAGGCAAGTAGATCTCTGTCAGTTTGAGGCCAATCTTGTCTACAAAGAGAGTTTCAGGGCAGTTAGAGCTGTTACACACACACACACACACACACACACACACACACACACAGTTTTTTCAAGGCAGGGTTTCTCTGTGTTTCTGGCAGTCCTGTAATTCATTTTGTAGAACAGGTTGACCTTGAACTCACAGAGATCCACTTGCCTTTCCCTCCTATGTGCTGGGATTAATAGCATGTGCCAGGACCACTGGCCTTAAAATAATATCGAGAGAGAGGGAGAGAAAGAGACTGAATGAATAAATATCCTGGGGTATAGGACTTTTTTGTTTCCATGTAGTAATGAGGGTGGAAGCAGAGTTCTACTTTTCCCAAGATGCCATTGTTCTTGGGCTCTGGGGTGCTGGTGATATTTCAAAGGAGCCATAATCTGTTACTCCAGATGTCCTGTGTGCAGGTTCTCTCAGACAAGAGAACAAAATTCTGTATTTTACAGCATGGGCTTCAGCAAGGCTTTTGTCCGTGTATCCTCGTGACCCAGTGGAGAAAAGAAGCATGCATTCCTACGGATAGCTGATTATATGTCTGTGGGCCATTTGCCCAATTCAACGACAAATGCTTAATGTTGGAGGTCGATTGCTTTTCAACTTGCTGTCTGTCATTTAAAATAGACAATTTAAATTACTCTTTCTTGTCCTTAGGTGAGGAATAAGTGGTATGTAAATTAGACTTGCTTGTTTGGTGAACAACAGGCTAGACTCTATGTTTTTTTTAAATAATATAAATATTTAATTTCTGTTCCACTACATGTAGTGAGGAAGATGACCGAGAGAAATGAATAGAGCATGGGTATGGGAAAAGCAATTGCAAAGCCTAGACTTAAATGGCTGACTTGTTTGTAGGATTATGCTAAAATAAAGAAAAGCATTGGTTGACAATAGATTTGCCCTTACCTTATTTTATCAGAAAATAGTGCTCTGTCATATACATATAAGTGATAGTTTTATCGGAAAAAAAAGAAGAGAATGGGGAGCTGTTTTGACTTGAGCTGACTCAGGTGTGCCGTGGTGCAGCTTCCCGTCTTTCATGGATAGATTTTCCTCCATGTGGGTGCCAGGGACACCTGACACCAGCGTTTCATGTTTTACTTTCAGGATCAGTTCAGCGATATGAGAATCAGCATAAACCAGACGCCTGGGAACAAACCTGACTTTGGGTTTACAATAAAATGGGATTTTTCTGGGATCTCTGTAGCATCAGTTGAAAAAGGTAAATCATATGCCTACTATATTGTGCTACCTTCTCTGCTGTGTGTGTGAATTTGAAGCACCTTGTGTGTGTGTGAGAGAGAGAGGGAGAAGTGGGGCCTGGGAATGATGTATTTCAGTGTAGGAAAGTGGCAAGGTCTCTTCCCGAAGACTAGTATTTGGAATTGCAAATTACACAGTGTTTACTCTCCCTTCCTAATTCGCTGTGTTTTTGAAGAATCTCTATTTTTTGACCTTAGGGAATTAAAAAAAAAAAAAAAAAACTTAGTTTCTAGATATGTTAACAAGTAGTAGTACTTACCTTGAAGCCTCAGAGTAAGATTTTCATGGACAATTGTATTTTGTTAGCAGATGTCAGGCCTATAATTAGATCAACATGGAGGTCCTTGATGTTTGTAGGGACTTGAACCCAAGTGTGTCCCACATGCTCTGTTCTCTGTCCTTAGTCACCACCTGCCAAGAATGATGCTTTCTAAATATTGTTAGTATAATATCGGCCTTTTACTATATGTTCAGCGTGCTCTGGGCCTTCTGCTGGATCAGCCAGGGTTCCGCCAAGGTAAACCCAGCAACTGCTAAATTTGCACTCAAGGTTGAAAACTACAATGAGAGCTATCCTATTTGAGAGGAGGTCCCTATTCACATATTTTTTACCATACCAAATTGTGTATTGACATTGACTCTTGCTTTTAAATATCAAAATTGATGGAATCATGGTACTTTAAGTGGTAATTTTACGCAGTTTGAGGGGACTCTATTCTCCTTACCTCCAGAGTTCTAACTGATGCTCAGTTAAAATACAATATATTTCACATTTTTAATTTAAAAATAATTACATTTTTTCTTTGTATTTAGGAGAGTTAATTTCTGGGGGAGGGGCTGAACTTACCATTTCTCCTTTCAATGTAAATGAAGATGCAGACTCTGAAATAAACAGTGTCCTTGGTACTTGAAGTGTATAGGGATTCAGATAGTAGATAACTTAAAATTGCCAGTGATACATCTCTACTGGGAATAATAAAAACAAGCTGAGATGAAAAAAAAAAGTTACTTAAAGAAGCAACAGGTAGCAGATTTCGTGTTCGTTCTTTTCATTTGAATTTTTTTTTTTTTTTTAACTTTTACATTGTTTAGGTAGCCCAGCAGAATTTTCTCAGCTGCAGGTAGATGATGAAATTCTTGCCATCAATAACACCAAGTTTTCATACAAGGATACAAAAAAGTGGGAGGAAACCATGGCAAATGCCCAGGAAACTGGAAACTTAGTGATGGATGTCAGACGCTATGGAAAGTCTGGTGAGTTAGTTTTCCTCCGTGCCTGGCTTTCTAAATAGGGAAACCCGACTTGGGCAAGCGGTTCTAACAGGTGGCTTTATTAATCCTCTCCCCTACCCCCATTTTACTTATCTCTGTGCTTGCAATTGTTCCGTCATTGTGTTTGGACAAATCATGGACAGCACCTCTGAATAGTCCTCCTGAAAATGCTTCACTAGCAAATCTACTGAATCTGACACCATTTGAACTGCTTATATAACTGATCTGGCTGAATGCAAATGTCAATGAAAGCAAATGTATTTGTACATGTGTGACAGGAGTCACAAAACTGAGCCCTAGGAATGGGCCCAGTGGTGACACACACCTTTAATCCCAGCACTTGGGATGCAAAGGCAGACAGAGCTTTGAATTTGAGGCTAGCCTGGTCTGTAGAGTGAGTTCCAGGATAGCTGGGGCTACACAGAGAAACCTTGCCGAGAGAGAGAGAGAGAGAGAGAGAGAGAGAGAGAGAGAGAGAGAGAGAGAGAGAGAGAGAGACAGAGACTGCCCTATGATTTAACTTGCTCTGTAGCAGTTAACAGCGCTGCTGTCATCAAGCTCATGTCAGACACTTTCCGATTTAATTCTCATAGCATTTTGATCTGCTATTTCTATCACTTAGCTTCTCTGTCATGGGTGAGGGATAGATTGGAAGGGGAGTTTAGTCTCTTCAGGCCCATACATTTTTGGTGTCAGCATATAACATGTAGTCCCAGTTTAGGAAAAGAACCAGCACATTTGCTAGTTGTCTTGCTACTACCATGGTTGTTAACCTTTGTGTTTTGGGAAGGTGGTCTGCTGAAAAAGCCCTAAAGTCTCCATGTCCTTGATCCACTGCCTGATTCATCTGTCTGTCTCTGTCTGTCTGTCTGTGTACATTTTGTATCTGTGCATTCAGTAACTGTATTCTTTCCACTTCACCATCTATGTGTACTCATTACTTGATCTTCATGTGCCAATCAGACTGGGGCAGAGACCAACTTTCCCTGCCATCTATACGGCATAAAACCCTCAATCTTACCAGTGTGGCTACCAAAATTATAGGTTCACCTGAAACAAAGTGGACCGATACAACTTCAGGGATTTACATCACGGACAAGTCTTCAAGTCTGTCGGTAACCACTGATTTTTCTGAAAGCCTTCAGAGTCCTGTAAGTAGAACGAAGTAACAACAGAAGCTGTGTGTGATACTATGTAAAAGATAACTAGGTTATACTTAATAAATACACTAAAGTGTAGTCTTGAAAGTACTGGGTGTTTTTATTAGCAGCGTTTTATTACTGAGTTGTAAAGGTAACAATATTCCATAATGTTGCTCCGCAGGTATTTCTGGCCAATCTTACATCATTGCAATTATCTCTCAGATCAGTGTGAATGAGAGATAGCAATTGTGAAAAATTACATGCTATGTACATTCTTTGTATAGTCTATTGTCAAAATGTAGTCACTCTGAACACCATGAATCCTCATGAAGCAATTGAATTGGATTGCATGTGTGTTAAGACATAATCAGTTTCATGAACTGATTTAAAAAGCACAATGCAGGAAATTTCAAATTTTTACAGCAGTATTTTTTCATATAGTTTTTTTTTTTTTTTTTTTTTTTTTGGAAAATTGCTTTCTATTTCTAATCACAGTTGTTCATTTTAACTGATAATTTAAACTTTGAACTGAATAAACTTGTCTAAAAGGAAATATTACTACATTTTAAAGGACAGATTTAAATGTTAAAGAATATTAAATGGTTGTTTTACTACTCATAAGCCCAACACTCATAAATATAAGCCAAATGAATGAATATTTTATCTATCTTGCCTCTTAGAATATTAACCACTGATTAAAGTTATGGTCATCCATGCCTGTAGCTAGTCATTAATCCTTTCACAAGTATTGGACAGTAATGAAAAACTTTAGTTTTTAGTACACATAAGACGATGCTGTGAGTAATAAATCAATACCCTGAAAAACCCATCTTATTTAAAGATACTTTTCCCTAATGAGAGATGTATTATTTAAGCCCTACATCTAATCGGAGAGAATGTTAATTAGCATTTTACCCTTTCCAGTATACCGAATCTAAAGAAATCAATGGAATTCATGAAGAAAGCAGCACCTTTGATTCAAAAGGTAAAGATCACTTTGAAATTACTTCTTCTTGTTCCACAGGGTAAGTTACAGATCTCAAGATCTGCCAAAAAATTAAGATATGTAAGTGAAGGAAAGCCGAATGCACAGTGAGTTGAAATCAAGATTAGCATGCAGATCCAGTTGCTGCCAGGTGGGAAGGAGTCTGTTCCAGCAGGGAACAGCGCAGGAGCTACAAACACAAATTTGGCAGCAGGCTCCGGAGCTCTGGGTACCTATGTGCCTAAGCCAAATAAGAACAGGTTTTCCCGGAGCCATCAGCTTCCTGGCTATGGAGTACTGGCAGAAGGATCTTCATTAAACACAAAATGAGGTTTCCTTTCCCACTTCATTGTTCTGAAAAGGACAAATGTGCAGGAAGCTGATGCTGGCAGAGAATCACCCAGGCAGTAACAGTTGAGAGTCACCTTTGTTTGTCTTGAAAGAAAAAGCAACAGAAGAATCCAGGGTGTTGCTACAGTTCCCTCTCCTCCTTGCCTTGACCATTCAGAGATAATTCAGCTTCTGAGTGCCATATGTTATTTCTGGATGTATCAGAAAGATCTTTCAGCTCTACACAGGCAAGGAAGAGGCCAAAAGAAGCTTCCCGCCCTGGGGCTGTATTTGCTTCGGTGACTTTAGGCACAGTTAGGTAGTTTGAAAATGTGTTCAACAAAGCTGACCGAAGGTAATGAATTTGTTTCTCTTGTATGATTATTATCTTTGTCTTCCATTTCTGATAGGTAGAAGCTAGGATTGTTGTTTTCCCACATGTTTATTTTCCTTTATGATACTAAAATCTAAGGAATCCTAATTCTGTTCTTCTCACAGCCTAGGCAGCTATGTGGTGAGCATGCGACTCCATGGGGCTGCTTCAGGACTGGTTAGATAAGGAAGGACAAACCACTCTTAGGTGATATTTACAGTTTGGAACATAGTTTTGGGACTGATCTACAGGAGAAGTCAGATTATGTTTTCTTTTTCTTTCTGACTAACCTCCATTAAAAGAAGACTTAAGCCAGCATCTGTACACCTCTTAGATACTACCACAGAATATTCTAATCAAAGGTACATTACTTTTAGCATACGTTTTCATTTGGCCATTCTTTGGGTTTTATTGCTTTTGATCTCTTCTCAAATACTTAAAAATTTTTCTTCATCATGTTGTAAAAATGGTTTGGTAGAGATAATTTTAGGTCCATTCACCTAAGCAAAAAAGTGTTAGTCTTCATTCCTTGGAAGCTCTGTGCTGTAAGACAATGGTATGGTTCTCCTTGCTGTGAACATATAATGCTATTTACTAAAAATAATTAATGAAAGTATTTGTTCTCTTACTAATTTGAATGTAGCGTAGTCGACTAAAGTATGTGTGTCTGCCTTGAAATAATCTCTATCTTCAGTGGCTACCAATTTTGCTATTTAACAAGCGTCATTGGAATTTACCAGTGGTAAGAAATTAAAATGAATGACATGGTATTTATTTTCTTATTTTTCAACTAGCGTCAGAATCCATTTCTTTGAGAAATTTAAAAAGGCGATCACAATTTTTTGAACAAGGTAAAATGTAAAGCTAACTCTTCCTGGGCTCTCATGAACCTGCCTCACGCTCCACTCTGCCTTGTAGTCTGTGGTTCTGGGTACCAGTCCCCTTCCATCTTACTGCTGTTATGACCAAGCAACATAACCCATTTCCATTCTTTCCCCAGGATCACCAGGCTTTTCTTACAGTTCATGGGTCTACCTCTGTGGTAATGGGTCTTTGCGTGTCCTTTGTCTAGCTCTCAAGGTGTCTCTCACTCTTAACCTTGTGAAAAAAAACAAAACAAAACAAAGCAGTGAGATGCTATTAAACTCACGCGTTTTTTTCCACTGGGGAACAGTAAGAAATAAGGAATTTCTTTTATGCCTTACTGCTTCCTATCATTTGCACAGTGTTAGGTTACACCAACATGTGTTTGGTCAACTTACCAAAAAAAAAAAAAAAAAAAAAAAAAAAAACAGCTTTTGGTTGTGGGGAAAAATGCTAATGAAGAACAGAGTTACTTGTTGGTATTTGATGGTGGAGGGCCGATAATGATGACTCTGTTGATGCCAAAGAAAATTGGGGTGCATTTGAACACAGAAGCATTGTGAAAGCTGTGTTGGTGTAGCTGTGCGGGCTGCCTCGTGAGGTGTGATGCATGCGGCCATTCTTCACCTTCACATTTGTCTAACACTCTGTCCCCTGAATGTGTCTCCAGATCTGTTTTGCTATGAAGGACTTAAAAATAATATCTAACATTTCAGATGCAATACCACAGAAGATTTACTGTTGCTATCTAAAATGTTACTGTTTCTTTAAAGATTAATGAAACATTTCAAAATTTGTTTTATGATACCTCCTCGGTTTGTGTCTGTTGTGTTTATTGCCTAATATTCTTCCTAAGTTAGATTAAGTTTCCTCTCAGACCATAAATAGAGTTTATCAGCTGTCTCTGGAGCTGTTAATTTGTAATTTTTCCACTAAACTCACTATTTTCTGTGGCTATTCAATTGAAGTGAATAGCCTAATTCGACCTGGCTCAAACAAAATAATTCCTTGTCTTTATTTTAGTTTTCTCTCACTTTTCAATGAGCTATTTCACAGAGGAACATTTTCCTATGTCTTAAAGCAATTTTCTTTAAATAGTGAACAATTTATATGACAACTGAGATTTCAGGCAACTTTCTAAATAGTGCATAATAATATGTTTTCTAAAAATGTACTTCGCTAGAATTATATAATGTATTGACTCATAGCACTATAAACTCATTGATAATAAAAAGATTGTTAGCCCAGTGTAGTTGTACACTGTTCTATTGCCAAGGCTAGGCAGCAAGATTAAAAGTTCAAGGCCAGCCTAGACTAAATAGTGTCTCAAAATAGTAGTGAAGAAATTGGCCAGGCAGGGTGGTCCATACCTGTCATCTCAGCACATGGATGATGGAGACAGGACTGAAAGTTCAGAGTCAATGATGGCTTGATGTCAGCCTGGGTGAGATGAGACCCTGTCTCAGAAAACAACAGCAAGATATAATAATATAGTGTCTGATAGCTTACACATCAACCTTGAATCCATGTTTTTCAAATGAGAGAAGAGGAAAGATATCTTGAGCTCATTTTTTTTTTTTTTTTTTTTTTTTGGCCATTATTTCAATTAGAAAGCAGTTCATTAGCAAAGAGACCTGGAAAATGAGTTTGGCTACTGTCATACTTTTGATGAATATTTGCAATAGGTGGGCTAGGGAGGGGTTATATCTGTGTTCTTTCCCCCCATTAAGCTAAACTATTAGGCACTGTTCAGTTTATTGTCAATGAAGTCTCTTGCGAAAGCCTCAGGGTGCTGTTTCCTAGAGTTTGGGGCACCAGCGGTTTCCTGTGTTACCAAATTTGGGTTTAGAAGCCGAGTACAGACTGAACCGAAGGGAAAGGATTTGTAGCTGAGTCCGTCTCCTGAAGAGAGCTGTTTTGTAGAAATGGAGACTCACATTGTGCTTTTTTTTTTCCTTCCTTGCCCATGTGCTGCAATGCAGGGAGCTCCAATTCTGTGGTTCCTGATGTGAGTATTAGACCTTTGCGGCTGGGAGTACGTAAGGGAAGGTTGGTGGGGCTAGATTACTACACAGTAATATTTCTTGCATTGTTTTTAAGATACACGCATGGCATGTTGATCGGGTTGTAATATTCTAAACTAAAACGACTGGCCTTGAAATGTGAGAGCATACCTTCTCTGCTACGGTGTAAGCCAGCACGAGATGAATAATTGATGAGTGCGGATCAGTAGATGACCTAAGGAATGTGTGTTGTTCTGTGTTTTACATCTCTTGTGCCACAAACTGGCTAGCTTCCGGTTCCAGCCCTCAATGCCCCAAGTCGCTGGGCGTGGGATCAAGAGGAGGAGAGAAACCGGCAGGAGAGGTGGCAGAAGGAGCAGGACCGCCTGCTTCAGGTAGCACCACCGCATCACATAGCCCGGGTGAAGAGGGCTTAGCTTGGAGGGCTCTCTTCTGGCCAGTGTCAACCATTGTTGAGAAGCAAGCTTGAGAAGCAGACCCAAACCAGCGTCCATATTACCAGCAAACCCTTTTGCGTATCGGGTGCATATTTTGCATCAAACCCTTACTTTCCCATTTTGATGACTGTATAAGCAGTCAGGCATTAACCCCTATGGGGGTTTTGGAGCCACAAGGGGCACAAGTCTGTGAGGACTTGTCCCTGTCAGCAGTAGATGAGGACTGTTTTATCCTCAGTCTTCCTTATCCTAGCTGGAGGCCTTGATGAGTTCCGTCAACAGTAGAGCTTAGGCGTAGATCTCCCGTGTGGCTGTCCTTCCTGACATCTGCATTTTAGTTTAGTGCAAGACCTTTTTTTCTTCAGGGTCTAAACTCAGATTGTCACATGAAAGTTTGATATGGAGGTTTAGAGATAGCAACATTGGGAATGGAAAAACATTCTTCTTCCCAGGAGAAGGCAACCTTGATTAATTATTATGTCATACTTCCTCCCAGGAGAAATACCAGCGCGAGCAAGAGAAGCTGAGGGAGGAGTGGCAGAAAGCTCAGCAGGAGGCCGAGAGAGAGAACTCCAAATACTTGGATGAGGTAGCATGAAGCCTGCCTTGCTCCCTTCCTTCTCTTGAACCTTCTTGGAGAACCTAGGCATGCGGCGCCACGCCCCGTTTCCCTATACTCACTGTAGTCTCCTTGGAAAATATATTGAGCCCTCTTGAGTTAGAAATTTGCTTTGACATTTTTGATATTTTAGCTTCTCTCCTAGTTTTTCTAATATGCCACACAAGTAATTATTCCCTCGAGTTTGAGTAGTCTTTTTGCCCTTAGACTTCAGTTATTCACGTGGCTCTTTTTTTTTTTTTAAAGAGCTGTGACTATCGTCTTGGAATTCTGGGCTGCTTGCCATTATTCTCATCTACAGCTGAGTCTATGTGAAATGATATCGGGACAGAGGTGGTAATGTGTTCTATTTACTGGTTTTTGCTGGTTACCTAGGAGCTGATGGCCCTAACCTCCAACAGCATTTCTCTGACCACTCGGGAGCCTGTGGCTGCCACCTGGGAACCCACCTGGAGTGAAGGGTCTAAGTCTTCAGACAGGGAAGGAACTCGAGCAGGAGAGGAGGAGAAGGGGCAGCTGGAAGAGGATGCTGTTTGTGAGGACCTAACTTGGAAGCTGCAGGAACAGCTCATGCTTGAGCAGGAGAAGAAACGGAAGGAACAAAAAGCTCAGGAAGAAGAGCTTCGGAAGCAGCAGGAGGCTGAGGCCCAGGCCCAGGCCGAGGCTGAGGCCAAGGCCCGTGCAGAGGCCCAGGCCCAGGCTGAGGCTCAAGAGCAAAAACGAGCTGAAACGCAGAAGTACCAGGTGGAGAGGGAGCTCGAAACTTCGGTCAAGATCTACCAGTACCGGAGGTGTGTCCCAATAGCTGAAGGGCACCTCGGAGTAGCGGTGGCTTAGTTTTGTCCACCCTTCATGTCTTCCCTCCTCTGTCAAACCATCCTTGCTTTACACAGCTGAACCCACCAGTTCCAAGGAGCCTTTAAACCACAAACAGCAGTGTCTCTTAATTCCCTCAGCTCTTGCGTGGCTTCCTGACATGTCACAATGCCATCAAAACTCCATGCCAGGGCTAGAAAGCTCACGTGAGCCTGGTCTTGGCCTAAGAGCTTGGCTAAGATCTTTTAGTCCTTGCATTTGGGCTTGTCTCTGGTTACTGTCTGCCTTCTTCCTATGAAAATGCCGGCAGGTCTTGCCTTGGACTTCAGTGTTTTCTGTTACCTCTGAAAATGACTCCCGTCACATATGTGTGGCTCACTCATTTCATTTGACAGTTTCCCCTGGCACTACCACCTTAGCCTTTCTAGAATACCAATGCTGCCTACCCACCATTTCTTTCTACACCACCTTCATTATTTTCTTCTTGGCCGGCCTACCCCAAGATGATGCGTTACAAAGCAACAACTTAACAAATAATTTGTGTAGCTCTAGATCACTACCAGAACATGGGGCTCCCACTCTCCCCAGTGTATACGTACACAGTGAATGCAGGGCTGGGCATGTGATTAACAGAGTGCCTGTGGGTCTGTTTTCTGTGGCAGTTGATTAAAACTCTTCTCTGGCTCTTAAGCCGTAGACAATTTGCTTAAAGAGCCCAGAATACAGTTTTGATAACCCCCTAAATTCAGGGAATGTCTTAAAATTTGATATTTTAATAAAAATCTTTCCTTTTTAGGCCTGTTGATTCCTACGATACCCTGAAGAAAGAGGGGGAATCTTCAGGGCTGCTCCTTAGTGACAGGTGTGTGGCATCGCCTTTACTTTGTTGGTATTTGTTGGCTTCAGATGGTGGCCCTTAGTTCACCTAGGTGATCTGTAGAGCTACGGTAGTATAGACCTTTGTCTTTTGGAATAAGAAAAAAAAAAAAAAAGCAAAAAGCAAAAAACATGAAGACTACTCTTTGTATCAATCAGTTTTTGCTATGTCAGAATTACCTTGAAAGCTATGGTTTCTGTGACTCAGCATTTTGTGCTGAGCTCGTTTGGAAATGTTGGTGGTTTGGGCTTAGTTACATGGCTGCTGCTAATTCACTAGAGAGCTCTGCTTTGGGGAGTTGGTATGGTATCTGAGGGAATGAGAGTCAAAGGCTGCGTCAATCTAGAGTCACGCGTTGCTGACAAACGTTTGTGATCTAAGTGCTCAGGTGGCTGAGATAGTGAGATTGATGTGAGTCTGAGACCAGCCCAAACCACGTAATGAGCTCAAAGCCTAGGCTACAAAGTAAAAACCTTTCCTAAAACAAAACAACAAATCCCAGAAACAAAAGCTGTGTTACCCTCTTGCCTGTGGGAACAGCCATTTAAGAAGACCAGTAGACAAAAGTTATTCCTTTCTGGTCACTCAGAGTAGTGTTTACAGTTTTGAGAGAGGGACTTCGTAGGTACCCCAGGATTGCCTGGTGCTTACTATGTAGCCCTGGCTAGCTTTCTTCCCATCTGTGTTGGGACTATAGATGTGTATCTCCTTATCTAGGAGAGCATTTTCTTTAAGAAGGCATGCTGAGTGGCTCAAGATTATCTAAAAATTATAATCTGATGAGCATTGTGACCTTTCTCTTAGCATGATGTATGTTTTAGAAAGAAAAACAAGATTTCAGCGATCACCAGAGGTGCAAGGTACATGTGTATAAAGTTTCCTAAATCATTAAGCTTTAATGTTTACAAGTAATGCACTTTGCTGTTTTGAAATCACTGAGGACTTTTGAATAGCCCATCTGTAGATATCTAGTCTATGGGCTCCTTAGCCTCCGCTCGCAGAGCTGAAATGCTTCCTCTGAGATGTTTGCCTGCTGTATTAGATGCAAGGAAAGAGGTACAGTTCCTGGCAACTGTGGGCCGTGGGAGGTGAGAGGGCTTTCATAAGAATGGAGGAAGAATGGGAATAACTAGGTAGGAGCTACATACAATAGCTAGAGAAAAACCTCCCACTAAATGATCTGATGATGGCGAGCCCTCCAGAGAGAAACTAGATATCATTAAAAGGTCCCCTCCCCTCTTTCATCATTTTATTCACTTTGCATACTTTATTTCTCAGTACAACTCTATGAGAAGGTATACTTAGTCCTATTTTTTTTAAATATGTGATGAAATAGAAACTTACATAGGTTGACAGTTGGCTAGGAGTCCTGAGATGAGAAAAGCTAGGAATTACCAGTTTATCAACTCTCAGAGTTTATGCCTTCATGCATTGCTCATCTGTCTAGAAAAGCTAAGTAAGAAAGGAACCAAGCCAACATAAATAAAAGGCCAGAGTTATGATCCCAGCACTTGGGAGGCAGAGGCAAGGGGATCTCTGTAAGCTCAAGGCCACCTTTTACTTATTATACATCTGTCTTTTAAACCTGTGGTTGGATCTATATAATTGGGGAGCATATATACATATATATATATATATATATATATATGTGTGTGTGTGTGTGCCTATACCTAATAGGCCTTGGGGAATACAGCCTGACATCTGGTGACAAATGTTTTCTTGGTAAATACAGGCATGACTTGACAGATGTAGCTGTCTGCCAGTTTTATATAGCCCGTTCTCACACATTATAGGTTATTTATTACACAGGATGCAGACATACACTATCTATAGATAGGCACATCTGTATATGGTATGTTACTATTTCTGAAGTTCAGCAATCTTAGTAGAATGAGGAGATGAGCCTGTGACCTTTTACAGACCTTCAAACAGCATTTTCAGAGTAGCCTGCACAGTCAATATGCCTTACTACCCGTTCGGAATGCTAGGATAGCATTTGGCAAATGGATGAATGATCTGTGGCCTCCTGATGCCTCTGTCCACATCTTGATACCAGGCAGAGTATCAAGAGGAGAGGCAGCACTGAGTGGGTGAGCTCGTGGCTGGTGCAGGCAGGAGCCAGTATGGACAGTAAGTGCAGGCTCCCTCATCCTAGGAAGGAGAGAGGGTCCCGCATTTTGTATATTTCGAGCATTACTTCTGTTTGCTGCTAGTATGCATAATGTGAAAAATTCCCTGGTTCAAAAATAAACACATATGTCAAAAGGCATAGGAAATAAACAACTGCTTTCAAAAACTCTTTGCCAGGTGTAGTAGATTAAGGGCATGCCTTTAATCCCAGCACTTGGTAGGCAGAGGCAGATGGATATCTGTGTTTGAGGCTAGGCTGGTCTGCAGAACGACTTCCACAACAGCAAGGATTACACAGAGAAACCCTATCTTGAAAAAGCAAACAACAAAACAAAGCAAAACCAGATTTTTCTGGAATAAAATAAATGTTAATATGACATATTTAATATATTCTGTTTTAGGAGTAAGTCAAGATCTACTACGGAACTAAATGATGCTGCCACAGAGAAAAATGGTAAGTGTGATATTTGTATTCAGACTTTTTTTTTCAAAGAACAAGTACATATTTGAATGGTCATATACTATGATTAATATTTTTAGGTGCAAGAAACTTTAGATTCATTGTATTAGATGGTTAATATGCTATTTTGAGTAATTGCAATAAAACAACTATCTTGTGTTTATTTTGGCTTTCTTTATAATTTGAGTACCTAAGAAATACGTGGGAAATTTGCAGAGAAAATATTGATGAGGCTTTGCATAGTAGATTTTACTTTGCAGCTGAAGAATAAGGACAGGAAGTAATGCAGAGGAGTTAAAACAGTATGTATAAATTTGAAGTCATTCATGTAGATGGCAAAAGATCTGAAAATCCAGTGATAGAGATTTTTTCATTTCATGAAACTCATTTGGAACTCAGTGCTTGATATAAAATATGGTCCTGGTTAACCCTACATAACTGAAATTACCTAAGTAAAGAAAAAGCCTTAAGCAATAGTGTCACATGTACAGAGTTTGAGTAAGCAAATTATTGGTCAGATATGCACATGAAGAAAGTTCAGGTGAGGATTGAAGCAGACAGAAAAGAGTCAACTCCATCACCGTCCTCTAAGGCAATTCAAATCTCTGATGCCCGCTATTTCTGTTTTTTTTTTTTTTTTTTTTAAAAAATGAATAAATAATGCATGTTTTGTGTATTATCTTTAAACCACTGAGAAGGAGTTTTTAAAAATTTTTAAAACTCACTGTAAGAAAAGCATTGTTTATTTCGTTGGCCTGGGGTCTGGTGGCAGCTGATATGTGTCTGGGCAAAGGTCATAGAATTAAGTTTTCATTAGAATAGGGACAGTGTCATTGAGTAAGTACAACCTTCAGTTATCTGCTCCCTACTTGACTTGCCAGCATTTTGGGCCCAGTTTTCCCTGCGGGAAACACAGCTCTGAACAATCCACATCTCTTATGTCTTCACTCAACAGATACGTCTAATGAGTTCCCTCTGGTCTTTGGATTTTTCCTATTTGGGTTTCCAGCTCTTCTCCCTTGAACTTGACCTAGCTACTGTTAAAATTGTAGATTAGGTGCACTTGTCTGGAGTGACATACTCTCAGCCTGTGGTGTGTGTGTGCTCTGCCCTGAGTGAAACCTGGTTGGCCGGTGTGCACCTGTGACCTCTGAAACAGCTGCTCATTGTGTTTTGTGTCTCACCTGGGTAGTTGGTAATGTGTTCTTTTATCCACACCTCCTTGAATTAGCAGACACTAAGAAATTATTATATATTTGATGGGATGACCTGGTTATGCCATCAGTGTACTTTTAAAATGAAAAAATGTTTTATTTAAAACTAGCACATTGATGTTGTCATTAATATAATAAATGTAGGTGTGTACTACAAAGTAACAACAATAAACTTCTCTGGGCTGGCTCATTGCATACTTGAAGAGATTCCTAGACAAGCTAGATATTCTAAAAGTGTGGTAATAACAAAGAATTTAGAGAAGAAAAAAAATCCTTAGTTAAAATTTTCTTATCCCAGACTAAAGCAAGGATGATGCCTTTAGGTTGCACATGTTTTACATAAACTGGCAATTAGTCAGAAAACCCTGGGGATGCAAGCTGATTTAATTACCGCTAATAAACTTAATAATTACATTACAGTTTATAATTTTTTTAGAGCACAAACAGGTTTGATAATATTATTGACAGTTACTTTCTCTTGTTCACCAGGGCTGTGTCAGTGACTGAATAAATCTACCGTGTGGTCATGACTTATTCTGTGACTTACACCATAAATACTTAGGCCCTGCCAATTAGGGATACGTGCATTTGTACTGTGAAGGAAATTTCCCTGTTTCCATGCATACTGTTTGTAGCAAACCTTCAATAAGTGCTCTTGATTGAAAGAAGGAAAAGCTAGATGAACATTTTATAACTGAACATTTCTGGGATCTATAGGGTTTGTGTGCGTGTGTGTGCGTGTGCGTGCGCGCTCGCGCGTGCCTGCCACCTGGATGGCTCTTCATGTGGAACTGGAATTTTCAGGAATAGGAGACAGCAAATTATGCTGTCTTTGGAGGCTGCCACTATCATTTCTTGGGTTGTACCTGTTACTGAAGCTTTTGGTATATTCTTAACTTAGGAAGCAGCAAATATTCAGACCGAATTGGGACTACTAGCTTTTCACAAAGGAGCTCCAGGAAGGACCAGGGCCCCTCAGAAGCAGAGTTGGAGAGACAGCAAATCCTTCAGGAAATGAGGAAGAGAACATCTCTCCATAACGACAACAGCTGGATCCGACAGCGCAGTGCCAGTGTGAACAAAGAACCCATCTGCCTGCCTGGGATCATGAGAAGGTACCGAGACAGCTCGCGATCTCTGCTGTGAGGCAGAGCTCTCATTTCTAGGCCTCCCCACTTTAATTTTCTTTTGGCAGTGAGCTATCATCAGACACAGTCAAGCTTGTGTCTGAACCATCTCTTTTAAGCTGAGGGATAATGTTTTGAAGTAGGCTCAGTTACCCTGTTTTTAATATGAAGAAACTGGTTGAGGCAGCGAAGCCAGCTGGACAAGGTCACATCATGAATAGCTTCTAAGTTTGGATGTGGAATTCAGAAATGGGATTCAGCTAATTATATATGAATTGACTTTCTTGTGTGTTAAACTTTAAGAGAAGGGAGCATACTTACATTCATAACCAGGTTGTTTAGGTTGGAATCATGATAATTGGGTTCACAAAAACTGTGAAAAAGCTAACTTTGCAAGTTTTCAGATGGTGAATGTGCAGATACAAGTTGGAGTGAATGGGTGGGCATTTTAAGAGACCTATCTTGGCAAATAATACTGCAGCTACTCTGTCAGCGTGCTGTCTGACAGCTGAACCAAGGAAACTTATTTGCAACATGTTTCAGATAAAGAACTAATTATTTCAATATACAAATAGCGGTTTAAAAACCTACAAGTAAACCCTAGTCTCTTTATCATTGTGTGTATCTGTATCTGTATTATCTAAACTAGGCAAGTGGTGTGAGGAGGTAGTTCATAGGAAACAAACAATCAGTAAATATATAAAAATCAATGGCACTCCTCAGGTGACAATGACATATCCTTTTGTTTATGAAAATTTCACAGTATTAAGTGATTGATTAAACCTGGTACTGGCAATGCATAAGAAAGTAAGAATTCCTTTTTCCAATGATTCAATCATTTTTTCCATGGTAAATTAAGCAAAGACGTGCATTTCCTTACTATGGTTGGTTCTATCTCCTAGATATTGTTAAATAAACATACAAAGGTTAAGATAAGAATATATAATATTGGAAATATTAGAAAAACAAATCTCCCCACCCTCTCCCCATCCCCACCAAATTCATTCATTCTTCCCTCCCTCCTTCCCTCCCTCCCTCCCTTTCTGCTTTCCTCCCTCCCTCCCTTTCTGCCTCCCTCCCTCCCTCTCTCCCCTTCCCCTCCCCTTTTCCTTCCTTCCTCTTCTCCTTCTTCCCCTCCCCCAATCTCTCCTTCCTCCTTTCTTCACCGCAGGGTTTCTCCAAATGGCCCTGGCTATCCTGGCACTCCCTTTGTAGGAAAGGCTGCCTTCCGGGTACTGGGATTAAAGGTGTGCAGCACCTGCACCTAGCACAATATTACTCTCTCAGGGCACCCAGCTGAGTTAACGGTGATAGAGCAGTAAGAATACTGTGCAAGCATTATAAAGTGTAGGGTGCACTGTGTGTAATCACCACCTCAAAGTCAGTGAGTTAAGGCGTCTAGCACTCTCAGGATTTTGTCATGGAGTACATTTTTCGTGTTCTTTCTTCATTTAAACACGCTTATTTTAAAATCACAGTTCCTCTTCCGGGTGTGAGGGTTGCCTCGTTTGCTCTTTGCCTGGCATTGGCTTTGGCATTTGAGCAACTTTAGATCTGGAGTTGGCATGCCTTTTTTTTTTCTTTCAAATAAAAGAGATAGAGGTAATGGTTTGGCATGGATCTCTGCCATGTGCTCATCGTTTCTTTAATGACCCTGAACATGTAAATTGCCCATGCGCTCTGCACGTCTTGACAATGGATTGCACTTCCTGAAGAAGACCCCTGATGGGGCTCAGCCAGAGGTCTTGTTTTGTAATCTTATTCCCATGCAGCTCCGGGAACTTTCTCATGGTGTGTTACTTGCATCTTTCAGAATGACAGTTTCTGACATGAACATGCTTGTCGCTCTCCATGTGTGTCATGTTTGCCAATGCCTCACTCCTCAAAGCAGACACACGGTCAAACCCAGAGGCAGTGGAAGGGGCTGGACAAGGAGCAGATACAAAAAGACATAGTGCTATGGGGACCGTGAAGGGGCATTAACATGATTCAAGATCATATATATTCGGTGGTAAATAAGTTAGTTTCAAATGTTGTAAAAGTATAAAAACCACATTGTTCCCAATTGTCCAAGAATGTTACAGAGTGAGTGCATCTATATATAAGCACCTATTAACTTACATATACAAATTTGCATGTATCTGTGGTATTTCCTTGCATATCTGAGGAAAATCTGTCAGGGCTCACAATTGAGGGCTGTTACTTTGGGAGATTATGGAAGGTAGAGAAAGTGAGGGAAGGAGGAACCTCTTGGCCACGCTCAGAAGCTCCTTCCATATTGTTCGACTCATTCTCTGTACAGTGATATATTGTAATGATATATACATGTGTCATTAAGCTAAAAATAGCTGTATTGTTTAAGCTCCTGGTAGGAAGAAAGTTTTAAAAGTACTAACAAAATCAACAGCTAGACAACTGCTCACAATCCTGTCTTCAGTACAAGGAAAAAGTCTATTGATTGTTTCCAGTTGTGTACACATTGAGCAGTTGTTGACACAAAGGACTTAGGGTGGCTAGAATGTATGGGTGGGTGGGGGAGGCCTGGGTTGCAGCGAAGTCAGAGACTTTGGTTTGAAGCCAGAGCATTACCCACAAACTTCTGGCTTGGTAAAAGGGACATCTATGAGATTGAAAACAAGCTTGTATAGTGCTGTGAAGATTAAGTTAAATATGTCTGTGGAAGTGCCTACCTTAATACTTATGTGCTTAAATTTTATTTTTTGGTTGAATTTTGAAGATCTGAGGTTTATATGTCTGTTACGGGAGATTTTTGGCCCGGCTTGGTCCCAGTGCCCTTCTCTGCCCCAAATAAACACACAGATGCTTTATTAGTTATGAGACTGTTGGCCGGTGACTAGGGCTTCTTATGGACTAGCTGTTTCTTAATGATTAACCCATTTCTATTAATCTAAGAATTTCCATGTGGTCTTATCTTATCTAAGAAGGGTCTGGACCTGTTACTGCTTCCTCCATTTTCTGGTGACTACAGTCTGCCTATACTTCCCAGAATTCTCCTCATCTCCTAGTCCTGCCTATCTGCCTGCCTCCATTGGCCAAGTGTTTTATTCACCAACCATACAGAAGGACAACTCTCACCATTTGTCTGAGCTGTTTAAGATTTAAGGAATGGATGACTGTTTTCTAGTATTTGCTTTTATTTCAAAATTAAAATAAAAACCATATTGTCCCCATTTGCTGAGGTAGGCTATACAGTGAGTGAGTGCATCTATATGCAAGTATGTATTAACTTACAAATTTTCTTCCTACGTTGACACTTGGCCATTGGTCTGAGTACCACAGCAAAGAAGGTTACTGAAATATGAAATATCACAGTACCTGTGGTGCAGAACAGTTTTATTATGAGTAGTAATTGTATGGGGAAGAGGACTCTCAGATTAATTACAGCCTAGGAAATAACTGAGCATGGGTCTTGTATTGACCCTGATGACACATTCCATGCAATGGATGCTCTCCAGTTGAGGGACTCATGTTACTCCTGTGACTTCTTCCGTGTTTCAGAGGGGAGTCTTTGGACAACCTGGACTCTCAGCGGCCCAGTTCTTGGCGGCAGTCCCCATGGCACAGCCAGCCCGCAGGAGTCTATGCCTCGTCTTCTGTTCAAGACTTTAGTCGCCCACCTCCTCAGCTGTTGTCTACATCAAACCGTGCCTACATGAGGAACCCATCCTCTGCCGTACTGCCTCCAGCCGGCCCTGGGAAGACCGTCATCCCAGGCCCTGCCCCAGGGCCTCCCACCTCCCACAGCTACTCCTCTTCAGTGTCACAGCCAGGCTCTCAGCTCCGTAACAGGTGAGGCCCCTTTATTGTCTCCTTGTCTCAGTTTCAAGTGTGTCTCTTCACTGAAGCGTTCCCCAAATTATCCAGCGAAGAAGAAAAGCAAGTCCTCTTGAGTGCATGAAATTGGGTGTTCTCGTATCAAAGCGATTGAGAAGGCTTTCTTCGGCCTCTGTCTGCTGCCTGCCTGGTGTCTACGGATGTCTGGGAAAGGCACTCCAGACTTTCACCATGTCTGCATGTCGCCAGGCTCTCTGTTGCCTGTGCTTTTGGTCAGTGTCTCAGCTTGAAGTTCTCTCTGAGTAGATAACCACGTGACATCAACAGACGATACAGTGGCTCACGAATGCCTTCATATTTATGAGTAGGAGTGTGTTATGAAGTGTCTGACTTTGACTGGCTCTCTGATAGAAACTCGTTGGAATGGAGTGGCATGATGAATAAGCTTCCTAGCCTGCACAGCTTGAACAAGCTGGATTAAAACAAAAATCATCCTGTAGGTTTGATCTTGCTTTCAGCGTCCTGGGTTGTCGCCTGTGACCCAAGCCCGCCACCAGCTGGCTCAGTCTTCATCACTTGACCTCTGCAGGTCACATGTTCTGGGGAGGGTGTAAAAGTTAGGTAGAATCTTGACTGGCCCTTTGCCCTGGGTCATGAGATGAAGCTCTGGTGCCCACATGGGTTGTATTTTCATATCTTCACAGCTTCTCAAGGAGTCAGTCCTCTGTTGTCATCCCAAAGGAGTTCTAGTTTCCATTACGCATGTAATGATTAAAGGCAGAAGTCTAGTGAAATTCGAATATTTTAAATTATTAATCGATAGCCTTAGATAAATAGTTATATAAAATCAAAATAAAGTCACAATTACCAAGATCTGCAAAGATCCGTTAGAGAGCTGAATTAAAGAGAAAGGGCCAGGAGGCCTTAGGGTCAGTTTTTTGGGGTAGATGGCGTTTGCAGAGGAGAGGCAGCACCACTCACCTGTTCTCTCACTGTAGCCCTATATTCAAGAATAAGGCAGGGGAGAGCCAGGGACAGATTGAAGGCCCCTCTGCCTGGGGCAGGTCTTTGTCCAAAGGCAGATTGCTGTCCTCACACCTGACTCTCAATAGCCAGGCACTCCCTGCACTCCCAGTGGCCTGGTGGGGTTCAGCTCCTTCTTCAGGGCTGAGAAAGTGAGGATGAAGGTGCTGTCTCTTTAGCACTAGGAGAGACCAGCCCTAGATCCAAAGGTAAAGCAGGGATTCCCCACTACTGACTCAATGGCAGTTCTTGGGCTGTGATGACTTCATCCTGAAAGGAAGTGCCGTCAAGAAAGTGCTCCTGTTTCTAATGGGAAAACTGAAGAAGAAGGGGTAGGAAGGAAGGCCAGAAGGCAAGTCACAGAGGCTCTGGCTGGACCTGGGAGTGGGAAGCCATGAGTGGGATTTTGTACACCAGTCCGCTGGATTAGCAAGCAGACGTGGCAGATCAGTGATGCGGATCAGCCCATATGTGATCTCAGGGGGATGGACTCCAAGTCCCCAATGGACCAATCGCACTGAAATTGTTCCTTTAGGTAAACAGGCATCAAGGTCTCTAGAGCTTCCGTCGAGACTGTTCAAGGTACCTAATGAAGACGTGCTTTATTTAGCCGCAAAAGTTTCTCCCCCATGGCTATAGAGAGCCTTTCTTCAGTTGTTATCATTTCTGCCAGTGACAGTGTGATTTAAATGCCAGCCTTGCACAGCATAGGTGAAAGTCTCCATTCCATTCTTGTTCTACATCTAGGTCAGTGAGTGGGAAGCGTGTGTGCTCCTACTGTAATAGCATTCTGGGCAAAGGAGCTGCCATGATCATCGAGACCCTGGGTCTTTGTTATCATTTACAATGTTTTAAGGTGAGCCTGAGACAAAGCGCTTGCCCGCAGGCTGCGATGCTTTGCTTGGAGAGCGCATGGCTTCTGTGAGCTCTGGGTTGTGGATATGTCACTAACGAGCCTGGTCTGCTATTTGTCAGTCTGTGCTGTGGGGGCGCGGGAGTCCCAAATTGCTTGCTGCTGCCTGATTCTCAAACCTGGAATCTTCTTAGAAAAGTCAGTCTGCCAGCCCTATGCTTTTTGTAGCTCTAATCTGCTAGGATCCTGTAAATAAAATTTATGGTGCCTAGTGTGTTCTCTAGCATGCTGCCACAGGTAGACTTAAAATTTAATTTACCAGTGTTATTAGCAGCATAGAGACATGCAGTTATCACTGTCTAACGGATAGCTTTTAATTGTGTTGGGAAGGAAAAACACTGTAAATCCTTTTATAGTTTCACAGCCTGCTTATAGCTGATAGTGTTTTTGTATGCAGGGAATGGTTCAGGCTCTTGGCTTTACAGTATCTGCTTCTGGATGCATCGTTTTAATTCTTGAACTCTCCTTGGGCCAGTAGAAGGTCTCCCCAGTTTTGATCCGGGAGTTCTAAAGTTAGCAGCTTGCTTAAGCTTAAGCATATAAATTTTTACGTGTGAATCCCTATAGAGCAGAATGAGTCAAAATAGTGTTTGAACACACGTACACACACGTGTACACACACATGCACACAGAGGTGTGTGTATGTATATAGGTGGAGGGGGAGGGGACAAAGACATCCCTTGAATGCTTGCTCATCTAGTGCTTTGGGGACACTGGGAGTGGCCCACCCTAGACTACATTGTCAGAAACCCAATTCTATTTTTCTTCTGTTCTTACCTATGGTGATTTAGCCTTTATTTACTTGGGGCAATGAAGACTAAATTTCTTTAAACCAATCAGCAAATTGTTTTTGTATTTCTCCCCCGCCCCCAGAATATTTAGAATGATGGTCTTGGTTCTTAAATTTTGCTTTATGAATTCTTAGTGACTAATCCTGCAGGCTGATTTTAATCCACTAATTGTCTTTTTTTGGCCTTTGCTCTGTTGTGATACACCCAAGGGTTTAGGAGCTGCATTCTAGAATCCTCTCACCCCACTCTGTATGTCTCTTCAGCCCATGCATCTCTCTTTCTGGGATTACCTCATTGTGCATTTTCTTTTGTCCGTCAGTGTGTCTCCTGTGAGTGTGACCTCGGAGGCTCTTTCTCAGGAGCTGAAGTCCGAATCCGAAACAACCAGCTGTACTGCAATGACTGCTATCTCCGATTCAAATGTAAGAGAGCAAATCAGAGAGAAAATTTCTTGTCTTTTGAGGAGACCACGGGTTCCTCTGCCTTTCCCTGAGCCCGAAGCCACCTCCTCCTCAGGTTCACTACCATAGGATTCTGAGTTCCAGGGGTCCTAGTCTGTCCCCTTCAAAGAGGCTATGTAAGGAATCCCAGCCACCTAGGAGGGGGTTGTGGGGTGAAGGGACTTGTACCCAGAAATCAGGACATTGACTGTCATTTGCAAAGATCAGGGGAAACTTCTAACGACTCTTAGGCACAGAAGAGAGGTTAGGGCAAGTGTGCTTTCTGATTAATGCTCCATCTCTCATCATCTCATTTCCATTATCTGATGATGAGATCTTATTATGTGACTTACAACGTAATCAACTCTGGAAATGATTGAACCTAAGAGTGTCCCTTTCGGCTTTATTGTTAATATGTAGCCATGTGTCCATACATATTTTTTTTTGAAAAAGAGAGCCTTGATTCTGTTTATGTAGTGTTTCAGTGTCTTCAAATTAGAAGAACATTTTAAAATGGTACTTCCTTTCTAAGCATGTGTTTGAGCATCGTGACTGGGTTGAGTGTTGTGTATAGTCTCAGCAAGACAACAGTTAATTGCTGTTTATCATTTTGAACCTTGACGCTGGTAACATGTTTCTTCCTTGTTGTGAAAGGCTATTACAAGTGGTATCTACAAACCTATTGCTTTTGAGCTCAGAGGTATTTATATGGCCCCTTACATGAAGCGTGTTTGGAAGTGATTTGAACTGGACAACTCTCTTTTATCTGTCAATGGCTTCTGAGCCTTCTCTGACAAGGCTTCCCTTGTATATTGGCCCTGAAGTTGGGAGAATGTCAAGGCTGGGCATGGGTTCTGGTGGGGGGGGGAGTGTGTATGTGTGTGCACTTTCCTCTTTTTTAAATCCAAAGCCAAATATAATTGATTTTTGGAATCATTGCCCACGCCTTTTCTCTCCTTCAGTACAAATAATAGAGAGTTGAAGATAATTTCTTTTTCTGATTCAGGCAGTTAATTTTTATCCTGTTTTACAAATAAAGAATTCTAGACCCTAGGCTGAGATTTGCCTACCTGTATCCTAAGAATGAGTGACAGGCAACTCTCTCTACCTCACTGGGCCACTCTGAGTGATGACTGCTGTGTGTCCCATGTGCTGATACTCACATGCTTTTGAATCTGAACACCTTTCTCTCTTCTCTCCTTGCCTGATCAGCTGGACGGCCAACCGCCATGTGATGTAAGCCTCCATTCGAAAGCCCTGTTGCAGATAGAAGAGGAGGCGGTTGCTGCCGATACAGAACTATAAATATGTCTTGTATGTTCCCCCTGCCCCTTTTTTAGAAAAAGAATAACCTTTGCCTCATTAGATGACATAGGAACACTATAGTGTTGGTAGGACCTGTATTTGTTGTTGTTGTTGTTTATTTATAAGAAGATAATTATGTGTGTTGGAGGGCAGGACAAGTGCAGTATCTGCCTTTTCAGTTCAGCATCCTAAAAGCACAAGTGGAAAAAACCCCAAGAACTTAAAAAGAAATACTTTTGAGGCTGACGATGATCTAGTTCGACTCTTTCGTGGTGTTTTGAAGAGGGTGTTTTTTTTTTTTTTTTTTTTTTTTTAAGTTCTTGCACATTATTTGAAATAGTTAATATAAATATGTAATTGTGTTTACTGTTTATTGTAATGTATTCTAAGTTAATGTGGACCCACATGAAAAATTTCATTTAAATCCACCCATAAACTTGCTTTTTGTGGCTTTCTTTACACAGAAATAATCTGATTGAAAAATAATTTTGCTTATGTATTATTTTGTTTGCCTGAGGAGGGCATTCTATTTTCTTTACAAGGACTGTTGTTGCTAAGCAAATATCAGTAGAAAGCTGTTTATTTTCAATAGTGAAACATAATCATGGTTTGTATACCAGGAATTTTCTCAAGAAACTGATAAGCTTTTCTGTTTTGATGTCTTTGTAAATAAAATTGGTGATACATTTAAGGAGTGGCTCTTTTTTTAATGTATTGAGTTATTAATGTTCTCATTTAATAATGAGTTTGTGTCTTTTACAGTCATTTTTTTCAAAGTAAAACGTGTGTGTGTACGCGTGTGTGTGTCAAGGCAGGTGGATATCTGTGGAGGCCAGAGGGGAGGGTGTTGGACAGTCCCTGCTGTGAGATATCCAGCATGGGTCCTGGGGACTGAATGTGGGTCCTCAAAGAGCAACAGAGTCCTCTTGCCTCCCGTGTTGGTGTCTGAGTCTCCCCCTCAACCCTTTTAATTATATTTCAATATGTGTACCTTCTTGCTATTATATTTCATTTATCTTTACTAAGGTGCAATCAACAATCATAAACTGCCTGTATTTATAGTTAGTGTGTATAGTATGGCACATTTTGGTATGTGAATTTCTGTTAAACTATTTCTACGGCCGTGATGATTCTGCAGAAAATGTCTAGTTTTAATCATACATTTTATTTCAGATAATGTTAAGATTTTGAACACTTTTTGGGGGTAATGTAAGTTCCACACTGGTGGATCAGTTTTTAAAAATTTATTATTTCTGTTGCTCTAATACTTAGAGCAATAGTAGTACTTGTAGAAAGAAATCTGGGTCAAAAATAAGTGATATAAAGCTTCAGTGTGCTTTGTGTAGAAACATAAGGACACGTGGGTTCTTTGTAAAAATGTAAATAGAATGAGAGCTGTATTAGAGGAGGCTTAAAATACATAGTTTAATGTTAATATGAAAGGAAAATAAAAATTAGTTTCAGGGTTTTTTTTTGTTGCTGAGCAATTATTTTTATTTCCAGTTATTAAAGTAATATGCACTCAGGAAAATTTGTCAGTGCGCCCCATGGCATTTAGAACATAGCTTGCAGCCCAAACCCCAGTGAAAAACAGCAGTCCTTGAACTCAATTCTGCAGGCAGAAGTTTATCTGGCATTCTTAGGCAACCCTGTGCTTCCCATGTTCTTAAAATCATTTCTTCTCTCCTTTTCTTCATGCATGCTACTCAAGCATTCTACCACTAAATGACATCCCCTAGGCCTCTGTTTCATTTTCTTTTCTTTTTTATTGGTGTTTATGTGTTATACATAGCCACGGGTTTCATGAAGATATTTTTATTTGGGTGCAGCACATACTTTGTATTTACCCTCTAATACCCCCCTTTACCAAAAGAGTAGAACCTCTACTTCCATTTCATATATAAAAATGACTTTGTTTGTATATAAAATGTGGCACCCACAAACGAAGGAAAAGATGTGATGTTTGTCTTGAGTTATTTTACTTTAATAGGATGGTTTCCATCTACAGCTGAGAGAGAGCATCACTGTGTGTGGTCAGAGGACAACTTGCAGGAGCTGGATCTCTCCTTCCTCCTTGTAGGCTCTAGGAATCAAACTCACATCATCAGGGTAGGCAGCAACTATGTTTACTAAGTTTTCAACTGACCCCCGACTACTGTGTTCATTTTCTTAAAATGATGTTAGTCTACTTTTCTTCATAGTCAACTGAAACCACTGAAGCCACACTGTGTGTATGCCACACTTTCTTTGAACATTCAGTGCTTGGTGGACTTCTGGGCTGACTTTGTAACTAGGCTATTTTGAACACTGTTGCAATAAAAATTGATGTGCAACTATCTTCTTAGAATGCCTTTTGCATATAAACTCAGAGAGTGGGATAGTTGGATCCTATGGCAGTTCTATTTTCAGTCATCTGAGGAACCTCCATACTGATTTCCATAGTGGATGACTAATTTAACCTTAATGTTTTGCTTGTAAAATTTCCCAATATCAGAATGAAGTCTAATCCCCAACACCAAAGTTAGGAACCGTGTGAATTTCAGTGGGTGGTAACATCATAACTACCTCTTGATGGTTACTGTTGAGAGACAAGTCTAATAGGGTGTGCTATTGTTGGGATTTTATTTTATTTTTTAATAGCACTTTTACACCCTGTCTTGCAATCTGGAAGAGGGATTAAAAGGCATGCTCACACAAGTCCAAGCTCCTGCCAGTAAGTATAGCCTTAAAAACTAATTTGTACACAGATGAATGCATAGAGACAAGAAAGCAACTTTCAGGCTTTGTGTGTGTGTGTGTGTGTGTGTGTGTGTGTGTTTTAAAGAACTGGTGAGTTCTGAAGCATGAAGCATGCATGTGCGCTCACTCATTTCCGTCCATGGTAAAGGATACCTGTGTAGTGAGATAGTCCTTCTGTGGCACTGACCACGCCCATTGGGGGGTGGAGCCATGGGCGGAAGTGACCTATGGAAGGAGGTAGGAGGGGGCAGGAAGGCGCTCTCTTTCTGGTGTGACTCGGACAGGAGAGGATCGGGTTGAATTTCCTGGTGTTCATCTGTCTAGGTTGTAAGTTATTTCTCCCTGAATAAACATCTATTCGGCCTATTTGTTTATCCTGATCCTTATTTACCGCAATATACCTGGGCTGTGAAAAGGGCGTAGAGTGAGAGATGTTGAGAGCTGTTGTCACTAAAGGAGTAGAGATGTCTTTGTGGCAGTTGTTGCTTGACAGTTTTCAGAGCAGGTACATTTTTTTTTTTTCTTTTTTACATGGGAAGGAAGTTTTATTGGGAAGGGAAGGAAGTTTTATTGGGAAGGGGGAAGAGAGAGAGAGAGCTGGAGAGAGAGAGAACAAGATAGACAGAGATCTCTCTGCCTTCTGGTGGACAGAGTATGATTTTAATAGAGCAAGCGTTTGGGAAAAAATAATGCATTTCGGAGTTGAGTTCACCTCCCATGGAGTTCTCTCTTGCATCTTCACCAAAAGCTTGCATACATAGTTTGGCCAGTTCTGCAGAGGAGAAGCAATCTGCCGTATTCTCTGGGACAGTAGGATGCTGTAGTTTACAACAGTTGTAGTCCATATTTCATAGAGAATAAAAAAGAGGGGTCCCGACACAAAGAAGTGATGTTTCAAGGACATAAGAATTATCACAGTGACTTGGTCACTATGCATTGTATATATGTATTTAGTTACACCTGTATTCCATACATCTGTATAATTATCATATGCTCACTAAAATATTTTGAAAAATATTGTCTTATGGCTCTACAAATACCAGACTGAAATGTCATGGGACAGCATGATTTCCAGAAACTCTTTCCAGGGAGGGGGAACAACTCAACTGGCTCATCCTCATTTTAGGCTTTTTGTCAAATGGCATCTCAGAGGCAGCTCTGTGACTTTAGGGGAGTTTCCAGCCTGTAATGACTCTGTATTGTTGTTCTCATTTACTGATTCTTTATGGACATTAGAACAAAACAAGTTTCATGGGGGCATGGGGTTGTCTGGTTTTGATTGTATCACCAGCATTTAGACTGATGATACAGCTGATGCAGGGGATCTGTGAGTTCAAGGCCAGCCTGTTTTATAAAAGGAATTCCAGGACATCCAGAGCCACATAGAGAAACCCTGTCTCAAAAAAAAAAAAAAAAAAAAAAAGAATAATGCCATAGTAGATAGACAATACAAGGTAAGATGTATAAATGGAAAATGGTGATGGGACAGGTAGATAGATGGCTGAGAAGACGCAGACCATCTGGGAGCCAAGGGACAAGGCAGTTTAGACAGCATTTCTTACTGAGAGAGGAAACAAATTCTGTTTGGGACAAATATGTTGAAGTATTTACAGTTAGCAGGAAATAAATGATTGGACTTAAGCAGCAGGAGGAAGTATGATATCATTATGTGTGCTGTATTTATATGCTCAAGTCTACATGAATATAAAGAAATGAATTTCCTGACCCTACATGTAAATCAAGAAATTTGATTTATCAAACAGTTCAATAGTAGTAGAAGAACTTCTCATTCATTTCAGGCTGTTTGACAATCCACAATATTGACTGATCCTGACTAATTAATTAATACTGTGGATGTTGACAAGCTTTGAACTTCCTTGTCTACTGAAAAAGAGACTGATTTTTCTAATTCTCTCCACTGCGTAGGAGGACTTCCCAGAAGATTTCATCAAAATACCCCAGTTATGAACAGAGCTTGAGTCATTTGCTTATTTGGAGCCAAGCATGATCACATACTCATGTCCATCAGGATTCCTTCCCTTGCAGCCTGTCAGAACAGTGTGCAACCATGTTGTTAATCTAGGAGGTTATTATGGAGTGAAAGCTGGGGAGTCAACTACACTGGTTATCTATCATACTTAGCATTTATGACTTCTCAAAATACCTTATCTTAATTTCAGGGGGCTTCTTAAGAACATATAAAATAGAGAACAGGAGAGAGTACAAAAATCGTGTGTGGAGGTGTTATTAGTCAAAATGCTGTGTGTTCCAGCAATTAGAAAGGCTGGTTCATGGTGATGACGAGGCGAAAACTAGGAACCTGGATACCTTGCAAATACTGGGTTTAAAATACATGGGACCATTTCATCTTCAGTTTTTTTTTTTTTAAATAAAATCTTTAAGACAGCAAAACTAGGATTGAGTTAAATTTTAAACTCAAGTTTTGGTGATCTTCTCTGCAAACGATGGAGCTCTGATACATTTTTCAAGAGCCTGAAAGTACTTTATGAATAGTTAAGTTTATATCTCACAACTCATTTCTGCAGAGGATCATCCAAGCTCCTTTTAATAGATTAGAATAGAAATAGAATTTACTGAAAATTCCACAGTGGAGGCCTATTGGGATCACAAAATGACATTTTTGTGTGATCTTTTTAAAAAATGGTGAAGTTCTTAATTTAGCTTCAAAAGATTCCTATGTTATGGGTTTGCCTGTGAGACACTGATTAACCTGCCTGCTTCCATTTTAAGAGTTACCCTTATGTTGGTTAGAAGCTCATTTGCCTCTTTTACCTGCTGCACAGCAGCCAGGCTAAGTCCAGCAGAGTTGGTCTAAGGGATTTCCAGTTCAAGCCCCTGAGTCACAGAAAGCTTTTCTTGCTTCCAACCCAATTTAGGATGTCTTAGCTGTGAAATGCCCCATCTAAGGCTACCTGAAATTCAGGTTTGTGG